ATTTTTTCAAAATATTATATAATATTTTATACCCTGTGAAAAATGGCGATTTTAAAAGTTTTTTTTTAATGGAACATATATTTATATTTTTTGAATGTTATAGGTACTTATGTTGTACTTATTTTTAGTTAATTAAAAAAAAAACATTACATTACTTACTAAAAATATAATATATGATGTCCAATTGAATAAAAAAAATAATTTTCAAATACCTACCTATTTTTTAGGGGGTATAAGTTATACCGTATAAGGGGGTATAAGTTATACCGTATAACCCTGTATATTTTGAAAAAATATAGCTGGCAATAAGAGCAAATATACAAAATAAAAAAACTTAAAAATGGTCAATTATTTTTCTCATTAAATACATCCAAACTTCGAAATTGGAAGAAATTGTTACTGTCTTTAATAATTTGGCAATCCACTGTACACATGTGTAGTACACATTGTGTACATATGTAAATATTTTATATAGATATATATTTGACATGAATTAATTGTATTTTGATTGAAAGGTATAGAAAAGCATCAATGAATATGTTTATAATATTTTATTTATAATTATAAACAAAATTATTATTTATTAACTTATTAATTAAATTATAATTTATTCTGGTAGAGGCATTATATCATTGTTTTTCTTTCTGTAAAAGAAAAAAAATTACGTAATTTACAATAATAATTATTGTAATACCTAGTTTACTTTATAAAGTAAACATACTTGTACAAGCAGCAGTGCCGGTTTAAGTTAGTTCGCCGCCCGGTTCTGGCAAAAACACAACGCCCAATGCTTTAAAATATTACTTTTTTAAAAACATTTTTAAATTTTTAAGTCTTACTTTCTCACGTCAAGTGGAAGATTAGGTTGGTTAGCCTGGTATCTAACAGTAAACTTAGTATCCTATAAAATATAAAATGAGCCTTTATAAACAAATTATAAAAACTAATCAAAAGCACTAACTAAAAAATAAAACATTCTTTGGTTTATATATAAACAATACTAAGTACTAAGAAAAACTAATCAAAAGTTATAAATAAATAAAACATTATTCTTTGGTTTAAATTAATATTGAGAAATCCTAATACTAATAATTAAAAGGTTGTTTTCAAGTCGTGATAAATGGACAGAATTGCTAAGGAGTTAATTCTTTCTTGGGGAATTGTATTTCTTAGGTAGTTCTTTACCCTTTTTAGAGCAGAAAAAGATCGTTCACCACTTGCATTTGAAACCATTATAAAAAAAAATTCGCAGACAATTATTAATATTCGGAAATGAAGATATTAATTTAATTTCGTATAAAACTTATACTAATTCCAATGGAGTTCCTATTTTATTTCCGAAAGGGAAGTTACCAGTTTCTTGAGTTGGACACATTTTTGAGGAAAAAACTCATCCAAATCCTCCACGAAGATTTATGCTTTTAGATTAAACAAAAAATTCAAATTTGTTTGTGCCAGATTTCTAGCTATCATATCGACAAATGATTTCGGATTATAGATTGTCAATTATTAAAATAAAACATATTGTTCGCATTGTTTCTTTCTTGCTTAAACTTGCCTCTGAATTATTTTCTTCAAATTGTAATTTTCATATGATTATCCGCTTCTGAGCATAATTTTCGTTTCCTGTTAATTTCCTCGTAATGATCAAAATGATATCACGTAAAAAATCAAAGTTCTCAACTATGACAAAAGATGAGCATTTGTGCTTAAATCCATATTTTGTTTTTGGACTGCTTTATTGGTTTCATTAACCCTTTGCAAAACGTCTATCCAAAAAGTTCAAATTATTCCGTTTCCAATAAATCAAGTTTTTCTAATGGAGAAGCTGCTTTAACTCTAACAACATTTTTCTCATTTGTATCCGTTGTATCCGCCGACACAGTGTCGCAATAATTTTTTTTCTAAATTCTAACGATTAAGTATTTTTTTTTAATTATGGGCGGTACGCGGTACCGCCCCAAAAATATTTACCGCCCGGTGCTATAGTCCCCAAAAAACCCCGGTTAAACCGGCACTGACAAGCAGACATCTAATACACATGCATCATGCATGCATGCATGATGCATGTCTAATAAATTAGTAGTTTTACCTAGGTAGGTATTAGCTAAAGCAATAAAAACATCCCGCCATAGTTAACAGAAGCCGGTAAATAAACAAGGCCTCAAATAAAAACCAAAATCTCAATGTAATGTGTGTGTGCAATATGAAAGACACCTATAATATATGCACCACAATACCACACAACCAAACAAGAAATAAAGGCACTTACCTACCGTAAAAACAATAAATATGATGCGAAAACTGACACTTAAAAACACAATCTTAAAACGGCAGACATATAAAAAAACGTTTCACGGTGTTTGTTGTTTGCGCAGAGACATGGGAGCACAATACGCAAGCGCGTCGGCCTGGCCAATGATTCTCGAGAGTCTCATGTGACGTAGTCTAAAATAGTGGATATCCATTAGATATACATTAGATATCCATGAAAACTTACATTAAATTATACTTCTAATTTCATAGGTTGTATCTCATAAACATAATGCTTAAAAAACGTCTAGAATAATTTTAACTGAAACAATCCTTTTTTATCTTTGGCTCTAGATATGTAGTTATAATATCTATGTGGACATCCACTGGATATCCATTAGATATCCATTAAAGTTTTATTTATTTCAAAGTAAATTATTAGAAATATCAAGGCATGTGTCAATAATGTATTAATATATTTGTCTCTAATATTTATTAGTCAATTTTGGCGCAAATTGTACTTATGCTAATATCCCTAAAGTATATACAATGGATGTCCACTGGATATCCGTTCATGGACTGGACATTCAGTGGATATAGGTATATCCAATGGATATCCAATGGATATTGTGTGCTGTCTGGGAACTCAAGCTTTTCGAATTTTATTGGCAATGATTTTCGTTAATGTCCCCGAGAATTATACAAAAACAGCGCAATGCAATATCGTAAAGGTTTCGACTTCTCTTTATAAAGAGTATAATCTCTATAGAAACTGGAGTCTCTCGAATACTGTTCTAGTCAATATTTCTGAGAGTATAAAAAGAGTGTGTAATTCAATATTGCAAGAAGTTTTGATCTTTTGATGGATTCAAGTAGTTTGAATATTCTCATTTCTGCATATGATTTTATTGAAAATAGTTCCTTTCCTTGGTTCCTTTGTCTGATTTTTATTTACCGCAACAACTATGTAAAGCACAGAGGATATCCTATCATATATATGATCATCATATTATGATGTAAAGTATATATAGTTGCCGTGGCGAATGTTTCAAATTGCGTCATAAAATTCTGAACCAAGCACAGACATTACAATTATTGTTGTTTTCTTTTACGTATATAATCCAAGGAACCGCTAGGTTAACCGTATGTCGAGAAATCGGTTTTTGACATTCGACATTGATGACGCAATTTGAAACGCCGCGACGACTATACCTATATTTGTATTAAAAATTTCACGGTTATGTTGAAAAAATGATGGATATGCTATTAAACTTTAATAATTTAGTAATGAGGTCTGTTGGTAGACCCTGCACATATCCAATGGTAGTGAATGCCTTTTAATTTGAATTTTTTGAAATTTTGGTACAATAAAATTGTCCTCCGAATACTCGCAATCAAAAATATATGTGGAATATTTTAGGGTGTCATATTGCTAATATTGTTTGTAGATTGAAATCTCATTTTAAAAACACTATTTAAAAAGAATTAGAGTGTCTCAATACAGGGTTAAATTCCCCCCACCCCCTTGTCACAAATGATCAAAGCAGCGCAAACACACAACCCCATATATGTCACGTCAGAAATTTAAAAACTAATATATCTATAAAAAATATTTAATTTTAAAGAAATAACAAATTTCGGTGGTCACATTTTTACGTACTTTATGAACGACCCCTAAGAAATTGTATTTTTAAAACAATCATAACATGTTTTCTTATAGACTTATTAATAAGAATTCTTTCTTTAGCCTGGTCGACTATTGGAAATAACTGTATATATACACAAACATAGGATACCAAGGAAACTGAAAAAAACACAATTAAAAAACTAGTAGCTGGTGAATAAAAGTCTAGAGACATTTTTGCCATCATTAATAGACAAGTAAGTAAAATAAATTAAAAAAAAAGGTATTTTATCTAAATTATACCACTCACATTAGGGTGTGCAAAAAAAACCTACTATTTTTTTTTTCTTTGTTACTTAATTTTGGTAAGAAGGTTCTCCGCTTTACAATTTTTCATTTTTTCCTCAGTATTAAAAACAAAAATTCATATCTCTTCGACAACTGTTCGTTACAAAATATATTATTGTTTTTGGGCTCCAAACTTCTATAAGAGTTACTTTTACGATAGAAACTCAAATTTGTATACATTTTCGTAAAACTCAAGAATTAAATTGAAATTTTTCGAATTATTCATCAAAAACTGTTAAAATTAGTATGTATTGAAGTTTGACGATGAATATCTTTTAAACGCTTAATGTAATCGACAAATCATAAGAGACCATTTTTGTAGAGCAGTTATTTTCCTACAAAACTATGAGTTGCGCGATTCATTAAAAATTGTTTGTAATTACAAGCTTAAGCTAGTTATAAAATTCATAAGCAAAACAGAAATTTCTCTTAAAATAATAAAACTTAAACCTTCTAAATCTTTTAAACGGTGAGATTTACGAAACAATTGTAAGAGACTTTTTTTGTAGAGCGTTCGATTTCCTACAAGAATATGAGGAGAGATATTTTTTAATGAACAGTTGTCGAAGAGATATGAATTTTTGTTTCCAATACTGAGGAAAAAATGGAAAATTGTAAAGCGGAGAACCTTGTTATCAAAATTAAGAACTCATGGTTGGTGAGAATTCTCTAGAGGTCTAGTAACCGATTTTTCAGAGTACAAAGTAAAAAAAAATAGTAGGTTTTTTTGGCACACCCTAACTCACATACAACTAATTTCATTTACAGGTGAAAAATGGTTGACTGGTACATATATGCAAAGGATTATTCAGGATCAACCTCTAACAGTGCCTTTTACCACTCAAACGGTCTACAAACCTATTATAAATTTAAAGAATATGTTGATAATATTACAACACCGAAAAAGGTGGCATATTTACATTGGGATGGCAATTGTGTAGAAGTTACTGAATCTCAATGTGTGGAAGATTATGAAAAGAAAATTGGTCAAGGTTATACGAGCCCAAAAACAATAATTCAGTGGATTAAAGACAATGCTGTAAAAAGTATTAAATTATTATACATTATTACCGATGGCTTAATAGATTCAAATTCGGTTGACGCATGTGTCGATGCAAATACTGATATTCGTTACGAAGAAGTTGTATTTTATGCATTTAATGAAAGTCAAGAGCTCGACCTTTCTGTAGTCGCTCCATTTTTAAGGGAAAAATGTAAAATATACAATAATAATGAACTTATGGACAACATCGATATATCCGAGGACTTTGATTATGATTCGATTAACATCGATAATTTTATGCATGAACTCGAAAAAATACAATCTTATATAAGATTAAAATTTATTCTTACGAATAATCAGGCTTTGAATGAAATTGAAAAATTAAAAGTCTTGAGACGTCGATTACTTGATGAAGCCGACGTTTATGAACGACGTAAAACGGCTAATGATTTGTCAATAAAAGATAAAAACGTTTTATTGGCCAAATTAAAAAGCACAAAATTTTATGAAAAATTAACCACCACTGGCGCACTAGATTTACCAGTTCAAGTCGATAAATCCATCACAACTTTAATTAACTACATTAACACAACAAAAAAATCTTTTGCGTTTAATGCATTGAAGTGCACACGTCAATATGAGCAGCATAAAATCGATGAAATGGATGTCGACGAAAATATCACTTTTTGTCCGCATGAACGAATTGAATTTCCAGATATAATTTTATTCGCAAAGGATGGCATCCCTGTTATACTATTAGCGGAATTAAATCTTATTGAACAAATTATTTTTCAAAATTCCGATGGGGTACCTAAAACAAATTTCGCCAATTTCTCACGTCTTATGTCATGCCCATTATTTTTTTTGTTAAACAAACAACTGGAGGAGTCTATTGAATATTTTTATACTTTCGATGTTTACAAACAATTAATTGCTACGTCAACAAGAATTGGACCTCATACACGTAAACCTTTCGTCGGTGGAATTGTGCTTTCAAAAGAATTTGATGCTTACAATGATTATGTTTTAGCCGCAACATATTTTAACTCAAACAAAATTCAATATAATGTTGGTTTATTTTATTACGTGTTATATAAAACCTGCCAGTCGAAAAATTGGATGGATGTAAATGTTTTGTGTAAATTCAAAGAATATGTATTTCGAAGAATGAGCGAAACAATATGTCGACTTGGATTAACGTCGTTACCACTTGATCCTCAAGAAAACGTAACATTAACGACAGCGTTATGGTATTGTGTGGAGCTATCTTCACATTTATTCATGGATGATGAAAATTATTTTACTCATGAACGTATGCGAATGGTTTTCCCAGTAGCCAACTATATCATTGAAATATTGCAGTATTTTGAATATGATTTAGATTTAGACTTAATCAACAAACGAATCGAAATTTTCAATAATCTCAGTACATTAAAACGCATATTTCCACACGAAGAAAGAGTTTATTATATTTTGAAACAAATATTTGCGCAAGATCCCAACGGTTTTTTATTGGCTAAAATTGAACATCCTGAGAACATTTCAAAATTGAATTATTTAAAAGTAAATCACAAAAAAATGATTAAGACTGATGATTTGACTTCCAAGGTTGATTTGAATGAGTTTGTTTGTATGATGTATTGTAATATCGAAAATAAAAATGTTGACTTATCTGAAGATACGATGCGTCCATTTTTTGTGGTTGGCGATCATTCATTTTATGTTGAGCTTATGAAATCTAATGAGGATTTAAAAATAAACGATCTCGGTCAAATATATTCGGAGAAAATAAATAAATTGGATTTTTCTAAAATATTATCAGCTTATAAGTTGTACATAAATTATGTTATTAACGAGAAAAAACACCCAACCTTTAACGATTTTACATTATATGTTAATAAAAAATTAAAATACAAAAATACTTTAATTCGACTTTTTAAACCGAATGTTGCAGAAAGTTTGCGCCGTACTTTTGATAATTATCAAAAGATAAGGGATACGTTTCCTGTAGATTATTTTATAACCAAAGCCAAGGATTCCGTCACTAGAGTGCTGCGGATAAAAATGGAAACACCCAATTTATTTGATTCCGATGATGAAATAAAGCAATTTATTTGCAATGAAGAAAAAAAAGTAAAGTAATATGTTTATACTTATGTTTTAGTTTTTTGTTAATTAAGAGACATTAATAAATTCGGAAATAGATTAGGATGTGTGTAGTTTTATTGGTCGATATACAGGGTGTACCAAGTAGCCTTCTAAGGGCTTATTTTAACGTGCAGTTGAACAGAAAATGTACAGTATGAAAAGCCAATTGTGAAAATAAATAAATTGGATTTTTCTAAAATATCAGCTTATAAGTTATATATAAATTATGTTATTGACAAAAAGTTTTACATTTTTTCAAATGTTAATTAAAAATAAAATACAAAGGCTCTAAACTTAAAAAATTACGTTTTTAGATTTACACTATTTTAGTAAAAAATAATTTGTGACCTTATTAATTGGGATAGAGCCCCAATTTTTTTTAAGTTGCTCAGAAAAAAAGAGGTATAAACAAAAATCTTCTGAAACCAAAAATTGCTGTTTTTTTCTTACACTTTCAATAACTTATTAATTTTTACATTTATTTTATTATTAAAGAGGTTTTTTTTAATATAATTTAAAGGAAAATAACATTTATAAATATAAAAAACCATTATTTAATTTGTAAATTTATAATAAAAAACTAGAATTAAAATTTAAAAATTACCTCAAGGTACCTTCTGAATAACTTGGAACTAATATCTAAACCAAAATTAAGTAACATTACATATTTACATAGAGGGTGTTTCACATTCGTGGTCCATTAGAAGTTTCTGGGGAAAGATATGAATTTGAAATTTTTAAAGCGTTTATAATTATAATCCATTTTTCTAAAATATTTTAATCCGAAAGTGACGTTAACTTTGTTATTTCAAATAAAACACACCATATACTTTTAAAATTTTTAAATTTTATATAAAATTTTGAGTAAAATTACTATACCATGTCGTATACCTAAAGTGAATAGTTTTCGAGTTATTAATTTTTTTTCATTAAAATTTGATAAATGCGCATCAATTATAAAAGCCTATAAAACATTGTTTAAAAGATTTCATTTCAAATCTTTAAATTTTTTTAACAAATTATCTGGGCAAATTAGGCTAACTTAAAAGGTTAATAACTTATTTATTTTAAATGCAACACCCGGTATGTTTTTACATAATCATATAGTAAATTAAAAAAACTTTCGATTTATACCTTAAGGTATAGGGAATAGTAACATTAATTAAGTTAATAATTTGAGAGATTAAAATTTAAAAATTTCTATAATTTTAAATAGTATTTTGTCTCAAGAAACCTGTCACGGGTGAGTTGACGGTATCTATGGCTACCAAGTAATCTGTCTTTGTTCAAAATTTAAAGGCGTACAATTTTCAGGTTATAAACAATTTGATCAACTAGTCAGTGACTTATAAAAAAATAGACAAGCCAAACATTTTTAAAATTTAAAATTAATACAAACAGTGCATTTGGTAATTTTGAAAAAAAAATTAACAAAACAACTAGCCCTTTGGAGAAATCTTTTAAATTATTATAAACTATTCACTTAAGGTATAGGATATTGTATAGTAATTTTCCTCAGAATTTTATGTAGAATTTAAAAATGTAAAAATATATTTGGAGTTCTATTTAAAATAACAAAGTTGATGACACTTCCGGTTAAACCGGAAGTGGCGTTTTGTTCAAAATATTTTTAAAAAATAGACTTAAATGGATACAAGCACTTTTAAAATTTCAAATAGATATTTTTTGGGGCCCCAGAAACTTCTAATGAGCCACGAATGTGAAACACCCTTTATATTACCTGTGAATTTAATCTGTATTTGGCTATATTCTACTAAATTTTCTCGTATTGGCACGGTGTGCCTGAACGAAGTTTAAGTCACATAAAAATGCCGCCAAAAACTGATTGCAGTTTCTTGTTCGGGACCCTTTGGTGACTTAAAAATTATATTTACCAAAATCCTAGCTGCTCTTTTCGAATTTTTTTGAAAATTCATAATTTTTTTTTAAATTTTTGTTTATCTTAAAGTCTACTTTTGACAGAGTACACATTTGTACAACGATTTTTATAATATTGGAGTATAATATAATATAATATTATAATATTATTGTTAAGGAGATTTGGAGAATACTTTTTTATATTGTGCACTTCATTTATTATATACAGGGTTAGCCAAAAATCGCTTCTTTTAATAAAGCAAAAGCGTAAATTTATGATTTTGTCATAACACGCAAAAAAGATATATATACCAACCCATGTTTTTTAGATATTTTTATGTTTATCAGGCTACAAAATGGGATTCTTATTAAGACTTTATAAGAAAAATTGATTTTAATTAAAATTAAATAAAATAACATTTTTTGGAGATAAATCTTTTTTGTGCATTATGCTTTTAAAATCACTTTTTTATATAGTAAAAAAGTGGTTTTTGGCTAACCCTGTATAAATCTAATGATGTGCTCAGTATGAAAACAGTATTCTCCAAGTCTCGTTAACAATATGCTCCAATATTATAAAAATCGGTGTACAAATGTGTACTCTGTCAAAGGTAAGATAAACAAAAATTAAAAAAAAATTAAGAATTTTCAAAAAATTTCGAAAAGAGGAGCAGCTAGGATTTTGGTAAATATCATTTTAAAGTTACCAAAGGGTCCCGAACAAGAAACTGCAATCAATAAAAATCGGTGTACAAATGTGTACTCTGGCAAAGGTAGACTTTGCGATAAATAATTAAAAAAAAATATTTTTTAACAAATTTGAAAAAAAGCAGTTAGAATTTTGGTAAAGAGTGCCGATCAAAAAACTTTAATCAGTTTTTCGTTCAAAATTGAAAACTACTAAAAAGCCTAAATTAAACAACATTTTAAATTTTCTCTAAGCGTTATTTTATTTAATTTTATTAAGGTAGACTTTGCAATAAACAAAAATTTAAAAAAAATCATGAATTTTCAAAAAATTTCGCAAAAGGAGCAGCCAGGATTTTGGTAAATATCATTTTTAAGTCACCAAAGGGTCCCGAACAAGAAACTGCAATCAGTTTTTGGCGGCATTTTTATGTGACTTAAACTTCGTTCAGGCACACCGTGTTGGATTCTCTTTTTTTAAATCCTTATTTCGGGCTTCCTAGGCTTCTTCTGATAGTCGTCCTATTTGCAGGGAAAAGTTACTTATGAATAAGAATTGTATGCAAAGAATCCGGCATATAATAACCAAGGATATAAGGATACATACAGGGTGTCCGGGAAAAGGAGGTCAATCCGTTAACCATATATTCCTTGAGTTAAAACAATAAGACTTTCATAATACCATTTTTCAATTTAGAGCTTCATGTTCGATATACAGGGCGACAAAGTTTGAAATTTAAAACTGATTTTTTTTAATAATTTGAGTAATTGATAAGATATTAAGTTTAAATTCGGTACACTACTTCAACATAAATAGTTACATTTTTGGAGACCAACTAAACAAAAAACAATTGTCAAATAATCAAAATAGGGGGGTCCAGTACTCACTGACTCCCCCTATTTTTTAGTACGAGCGCCAATGACTTCCAAACGGTATTTTTTCAGTTAATCATTTATTGTTAAAAAAAATTTGTCTCTTATAAAATTTTGATAAAATGATTTGTTTTAGAGATAATTTGTAAAGTATGGGTCAGTCCATATCAAATCAACCAAAGGTTCTTCCCCCACCATCTCCGATTTTGATAATTTTTGGTAAATTTGTTTCACTAAAAATCTCAAAAATCCCATATATGAATTTTTTTCGATAGGTGGCTTTTGTTTTATTGATTTTTGAAAATCAAAAAATTCCGATAAATTTGGGTCTTGCAAGTACTTACAAAAATAGCGATATCTCGTAAACTATTAAAAGTAGAAAGGTGAGTGGTAGCTTATTTTAAAGGCCTATTAGATACCTTTTTTTTGATATATCACATGACCTAAATTTTTTCAAAAAAAAAAATTAAATTTTGAAAATTTCATATGGACTGACCCATACTTTACAAATTATCTCTAAAACAAATCATTTTATCAAAATTTTATAAGATATAAAAAATGTTCAACAATAAATGATTACCTGAAAAAATACCGTTTGGAAGTCATTGGCGCACGTACTAAAAAATAGGGGGAGTCGGTGAGTACTGAACCCCCCTATTTTGTTTATTTGACAATTGTTTTTTGTTTTGTTGGTCTCCAAAAATGTAACTATTTATGTTGAAGTAGTGTACCGAATTTAAACTTAATATCTTATCAATTACTCGAATTATTAAAAAAAATCAGTTTTAAATTTCAAACTTTGTCGCCCTGTATATCGAACATGAAGCTCTAAATTGAAAAATGGTATTATGAAAGTCTTATTGTTTTAACTCAAGGAATATATGGTTAACGGATTGACCTCCTTTTCCCGGACACCCTGTATAATTCGGCAGTTTTCCAGGATAACCATATGGTTATCCTGCATATATATTAGGGTGTGTCATTTTTAGGCGATATTTTTTTTTTCGCTGTTATACCAGAAAATCTAATACTTTATAGAAAATAAAAAATTATGCCGCCGGGTAAAAGGTTCTAAGTGCAATAGCGGCTTAGCTCATTTAAAAATTCAATTTCCCATTGAAATAACACAGACAATTTTTTTTGTTCGTTTTAATTAGATTTTTCGCTGTTAAAAACTTTTTTCCCTAAAAACTTTTTTATAGCTTTTGTAGGAAATTAAATTCTCTACAAAATCATCCCTTTGCTCGAAGACCGTATAACCAGTAGTTTCAGAGTTATAGCGCTGGAAATATAAACTTTTATAAAAATAGACCTCAAATTCCATTTTATTTTTCTTCGAGCAAAGGGATGATTTTGTAGAGAATTTAATTTCCTACAAAAGCTATAAAAAAGTTTTTAGGGAAAAAAGTTTTTAACAGCGAAAAATCTAATTAAAACGAACAAAAAAAATTTTCTGTGTTATTTCAATGGGAAATTGAATTTTTAAATGAGCTAAGCCGCTATTGCACTTAGAACCTTTTACCCGGCGGCATAATTTTTTATTTTCTATAAAGTATTAGATTTTCTGGTATAACAGCGAAAAAAAAAATGTCACCTAAAAATGACACACCCTAATATATATGCGTACATATATGTACGCATATACATATATGCAGGATATAGCCTTATTTGTAAAACTTCAGGCTACAAGTATGTGTAAATTTTAGCTTGGACAGTGAAAATTATCCCTATTTAAGTGTAGAATTTTATCATTTTAAAAGGTAATACATTAATTATTATAATTTTAAAAATATAAATATTTTTTTTTTAAATACATGTTTTTAAGAAACATATAACCTTTGCATTGCTATGAATTATATTTATTTTTCTTATAATACCGAAGTGACAACAACTCAAAAGCAGTGCAAATTTAATTTATATCTACAAATTGTGATTTTTTAGGTGAGCGCTAATTTAATTTTTTTTTATACAGAGTTATAATTGTTACCATTAGTTTATAAATATTTAAGTATATATATATATTTATATATACACATTATGCTATAATTTTTTTTTTTTTTTTTATTTATTTATATATACACATTATGCTATAATGCTATAATTTTTTTTTTTTTTTTTTTATTTAATCAGAGAATGTCGACCTTTAGGGTTTTATTAGCCAGCCCCAGACCACCGTGCCTAGTTTTGATTAATATCAAAAGATAAGACCTACGTTTCCTGTCGATTATTTTAAAACCAAAACCGCGGCTTCCGTCAAAAGAGTGTGGCGTATAAAATGGAAAAACCAAATTTATTTAATTCCGATGATGAAATAAAGCAATTTATTTTGAATAAAGAAAAGTTTTAAATCTTGCCGTTTTCAAAACGTTGTAGCGTTATCAAAAATTGTTTGAGAAACGTAGGAATTTTTTTTTAATAACAAACTTGTATGCGTAGATTCCTATATATATATACAGTGTGTCCATGGATGGACTTTATAGTTCATATATATAAATATATATAAATATATTTTTATAAAAATATATTTTCAATTTTTTGAGAAAAAGTCATTTTTCATAATTTCTTTTTTTTTATATAAATACGATTCGCGTTGAGAAACATCCATTTTGTTGTACAGGGTGAGCAAAAATACAAATTTTCAAAATAAAAAATTTTAAATATTTTTTTTTAAGCGCTAATATAAAGCTGGTAAGGAGAAATCAAAAAGTCAAATAAAGTTTTTTTATATGGCTTTCTACGAAATAAAAGGACCACTCAAGTTAGGACCTGAACTGATTTTATTTTTAATAACAAATATCTCTCATAAAAAAACTTAAAACCTTAAAAAAATGTAACAATTTTTAATTTTGCAAAATCTACAATTGTATTTTTTTGCCCACCCTGTATAACAAAATAGAAGTTTCTCATCGTAATTGGTATTTATATAACAAGCAGAAGAAATTATGAGGAGTGACTTTTCTTCGAAAAATTGAAAATAAATATTTTCACAAGTATAGTTAAGTCCATCCATGGACACACTGTATTATAATATATTCCTATATATATATATATATAATATATGCCATAAAAAAATTGCATGTTCCAACCCCATTGTGATAATTTTTAAGCTTACTAGTAAGTATTATTAAATAAATTTTATTAATAATAGTATGTTCTTTTTAATATTTATTTCTTAAATTGCTAAAATACAATTGAGGTAAAATCGTCCAAGGCCTATGCTGTAAACTTGAATGAAAAATATCATAATGAACTTTTTGAAGCCTATCTAAAAAACTATATACAGGTATTGCAGGTAATAAGACTGGTTTAGCTTGTTTAGGCACATTCTCAGAGAGATTTCTGGCTTTAACTAAATGAGAATGAGCCCTACTTGCAACTTCAAACACACATTCGCTCAACTTGTCGCTAGATTTTGCTCTAAGGATGTCCTCTTGACTAACTTGATTTTTAATTAGTATATCTTGAGGAATTGGTATAAAGCTCAATCGTTTTGAGTGAGGAATCGTCCTAAAATTATCTTTTTACAAAATTTTACGCTAAAATATTTATTGTTTACCTTAATTGTTGTACAATACCCTGGGCTTTTCCCAAATGTGAAGCTGCATGGTCAGCCTGAACATTCTTGACACCACAACCTTCAAGAATCAAATAATAAACATTTGAAACTGATTTTTCCACATACTTTTCCATATCTTCCAAAGTATTGAACCCCTTCATATTAATGTGTTCCCTTCTAACTTCAATTAAAGTTTTAAAATACCTTTTTGTCAGCTGATTTTTTGTTAAAGCCTTAAAGAAGAAAAATTTCAAGTGATTTTATTGATTTTATCACAATCCACACAAGGTCTATTCTATCTCGTACTAAAAGTACTAAAAATCACTGCAATACTGCAGTTTAACGGCGGCCATTTTTGTTGTTTACAATTCTTGTGCTTTGGGTTTATGCTGTTTGTACAGATTAATAATCGTTTTAAACGTTACCTATGTTTCTTACAGAGACTTGTAAGCCATAACCCACAAATTAAATTAAAATTGACATTTGGGTCATTCCATGTGACGGGTGGGACACTTGTACTAATTTGTATATGTTTATTCAATTTATATTTTATTATTGTAAGCTTTTTTATTCATGGAACCCTGATATTTTTAAACACCCATACAACATCTAAATAAACAATACAAGTTTCTTGTCACACTATTTAGTTTTATAGACTTTTTAGTTTTATAAGTTATTTTTTATTGTGACGGGTGGGACAAGCAAAAAACGATATTTTTATGATTTATTGTTTGGAAGCAAATTTCTGCCAAATTATACAAAACTATAATATGTTTAAATTTTCTATTTAATGCGTTTAATTTTTTTTTTTAAAACATCTTGATAAAGTCAATAAAAATATAATGCGATATTAAAAATGTGACGGGTGGGACATTATTTTGTGACGGGTGGGACAAGTTGAAAATAATAAAGTTTAATTTAAATTTATTAGAAAAAAACATTATTTAACCCTATAATATGCATTGAACATTTTGTTTTAAATATGCTGTTACACTATGTAAAAGATTTTTATTTTCAGCTCTAAAAAAATGTTGTAAATGAAGATTAGATATGGGTTTTATATTCCTCTATTTGTCTGCTAAATTTGCGCCAGCCTCTTTTATTTTGATAGTAGGTATAAATTTTTAAGATTTTTTAAATACTCAAAACATTCTTTTGGAGTATTAATTGTCCTTTTCTGTATTTAATTTCTGACCACAATTTTTTTTTAGCTGATGCACCAACCCCACCCATTGCGCCTTTTTCATGACTGGTAACAGAAAATGCCCAATCAACACTTAAACCCCAATCATGCGACATATATTAGACAAGATATATCGAATTTTAAATTGCCCAGCACAACCGTCGGTAAAAAATGTTATACAGGGTGAGTTTTAAGTTGACGCGTTCCTTTAAACAGTGTGTAGAAATCAGCTAGACAAATAAATATTTTAAGTAACTTTTTTATCAAAACTCAAAAATAAAAAAGTTATAGCCTATCAAAGTTTAATTAAATTTTACGCTGTGACTAGAGGCACGCTAACGTGCCGCGATTCGAAATGTTAAAGGCACGTTAGTTACGTCATAAACCCAATTGGTTTAAACCATCCCAAACTCAACAACACAACCCAACTTAAAAAGTTACAAAACACACCATGGTGTGACGGGTGGGACAAATTATAATAATTTATAAAAAATTTAAATTTTAATTAATAGACTTGAAATTACCCCCAAATATTTGATATTATTGACTTTATTTGCTATTAAAATCTGTTTTCAAAAAAATTATTATTTCTATTAAAATCAAAACTATTTTGGTTTTTTTGTGACGGGTGGGACAAATAGGCCTGTCCAAAGATAATACACCCCAATAATTATGATTAACATTGACATTTGCAAATAGCGTTTGTACATATGTCTGCAGTTTACAAATAGATATAGTTCAGGGCAGAGGGCAGTGATGGGAGAGTTTCCAATCTATGGGGTGTATCACAGTGTGTATCTGTGGGGTGTATTATCTTTGGGCATGTCAATTAAAACAATTAATTTAACAAATAATAACTTACCTTCTTTTGATAAACGTTAAACAAGCTTAACAATATTTGAATAAATTTTAAGTTAGACAGTTCTTAAAAAGAGCCAGATCATTAATACAAAGCCAAATTATTTACTTATATTTTAGATCGAAAATAAATAAACGAATTAAATAAGTTCAAGTTAATAAATAAATAATACATTTTCATTTTAATATTTATAAATATACAAACTATAGTTTGTATTGTTTTTGTTTATTTTAACCCTTTAAAATTTAATATTTATATATTAAATCTTCAATGTTTAATTTTTACAAAAAATTTCAAATTTTCGTGGAATGTCCCATTTCACAGTTTGATGACAGCACTGATAGAATAAGGTTTAGTTTTTACAAAAAAAGAGTAAAATGGTTGCTCTTAACACTTTAAGGCATCGTTTCTTAACCTCGGGTCGCGACCCTAATTTGGGTCGCGGGCCATATCGAGATGGGTCGCGTGACTTGCGGGATTTGTGTTAGTTGATTCCTAAAATTTTTTTAACTTACTTTAAATAAAGAAAATGTAGAAAATTGATGATTTTATTTTTTATCGGGTCGCGAGCTTCTAATATTTTTGAATTGTGGGTCGCCAGCCAAAAAGGTTAAGAACCGCTGCTTTAAGGCCTCTCTTAAGGCTTACAAGTGCCTCTGTAAGAAACATAACGTTTAAAACTATTATTAATCTGTATGAAGCACAAGAATTGTAAACAACAGAAATGGTCGCCGTTAAACTCTGTGCAGTGTTGCAGTGATTTTTAGAAATTTTTGGTACGAGATAAAACAGACCTTGTTGTAGATTATGGATTTTATCAAAAATATGAAACGCTGTCATTTTTGACATCTGTCACTTGTCATTTTAGAAAAATATGTTTTTTTTATCAAATTAACTGTATACAATGTGGCAGTACTCTTTTAATTTTTTTCTTTTATAACCCTCCATTTTTAGAAAAAAATATTTTTATTAAAAAAGATTTTGACAATCATCGATAGATGGCGCCACCATTAAACGTGTTATTTTAGGAACGATTAATTGTAGCACCCGGACAATACCATGTTGCCAAATGTACAACTTATTTGACGACTCCTAATGGCCTCTATTCCTCAATGGGGCGGGGGGCCCAATGGGGCGGGGTCGATTGGGTTGGGTTGTTGAGTTTGGGTTGGTTTTGCTCACTTTTGCCCATTTAAGTTGATTGACAGTGAGCGAAACCAACCCAAACTCAACAACCCAACCCAACCGACCCCGCTCCATTGGGCCCCCCGCCTCATTGAGGAATAGAGGCCATTAGGAGTCGTCAAATAAGTTGTACATTTGGCAACATGGTATTGTCCGGGTGCTACAATTAATCGTTCCTGTTATTTTTGGGCTTTGAGTACTAAAAATCCAGACAAAACACCCAACAGCGACTAAACGTTTATTAATTATTATTAACAAAAAAATGGGTTTTAGTCACAGACAAAATTTTGTCTGTGACTAAAAACCATTATTTGTTCAGGTAGGCTAATCTATTCTTTTTCTATGGTAGACTAAAAAATTTATTTTTGTTGCCTGGTGATATTTACTTTGTATATTTCTACAGCCACAGGATGGTGTGGAACTTCCTTGGGATTTTTTCTAAAACACTTTTCAATTGTTTCCTCCCAAAACTTAAGCCTCATCAAGCCGATTGTGTCCTGTGAGACTACTTCCGCTACTCTGGCTACTTCCACGTTAAACCCTCTGACAGCTAATGCATTTGATCTAGATGTGTTTTTGAGCAAAAGAGTGCATATAAAATTTTCGTAGTCGAATTGCCTAAAAAGTTTTAGTAATGTTTAGTTAAAATAGTGTTTTATTCTTACTTTACGTTGTTTAGGCAGTATTCAGCAGATGTTTGGCTTTTATGCCGACGCGATATGCTTCGCACATTTTGTTGGAGTATTTTTCTGTACCATTTATGTAATATCATGATTAATATTGTGTTTTTAGAGCATATTTTAGGTTATTTAATTGTCAAAATTTGTAGGTTAAATCATAACCTTACTTTCTGGTCATTGATTTGCAAGATTATAGATTTTCCATAGACAGAGATAAGAGATAAAATTAATTATGAAAAATTTGCTATTGCGTCGTAATTTGTTCTAAATTAAGATCTGTCAGTAGTTGTATAGAAAAATTTTAATTTTATTTGCGCAATATAAACAAAATAAAAGTGCTCATAAATTATGAACTTGACCTACATATTCTTTATCCATTAGAAATGACGTTTTCCGTATTTGTATAGTTAATTGTCTGCCGGTTTAATTGCAATATGTCATGCAGCTCGCGTTAAAGCAAACAAAGAAGAATGTACTCGGCTAGTAATTTAGTTAAAAGTTCTTAAACCAAATCATGTAGTTTTCGAATCATACATGTGCCCATATCTGAGAAAAGGATAGTGGTAGTTAATAATCTTTATGGATTTAATTAATGTAATGGCCTAATAAAATATCCCAATTGAGTAAACATAACCATTTGCTAAATGATTATGTGACATCACCATGACACTATCAATATTAAAATATCATTCAACTAATCTAATCTTCATTTAAGTAACTTTCGGCATAATCTCTAAATTCTTTGTGAACAAGTGTTTATTCAAACATGGAACCATTTACGAATTACAAATTGGCTAAAGAAAAACAGGACAATCTCTACATTCCTCCTCCATACTGCAAAGAAGATGTTGAAAAGACCGAACCACCTCATGAGGACAACACACCAATGCCCAAACTGGAAGTCTCGAACCCAGGCAAACTGCTTAATCTCATTGCAGCACTCACAAACAACTCGACAAAACTTCTTGAATACAAACTAAACTTATATGTAAGTCATTAACACATTAAAAATACTAGAAATATAAGGAAGTAATAAAATACATAATTTTGCTTTGGCTTTCATTTTGAGAAACAGGGTACAGTACAATTTATATTTTTGTTTAAAATAATAATTATTGGATTTTATTAGATAATGTACTTTTTAATTAGGTTAATTTAACTACCTACAAATTAAAAATATTATTGTATTTAATTAAACAGAACCTATATTACATATATGTTATTATAATAAATATATAAAATTACAGTGCCCCAAAAAATGGCCCACTTTACAAAATATTTCAAAATCACCCAGGTAGCACAACGTGACGAAACCGTGAAGATTTGTGACCATTGTGTCCAATTGGACACAAATCGTCACGTTGTGCTATCTGGGCAGATTCTTACAAACAAAAATATTGCAGCTAAAGGGTGAAACAGAAGCCAGGCAAGTCTTCTTAATTAACCTCCTGAGTGTCTCTGAAGAGGCTGTTGTACAAGTTATAACAGACAAAATATTGGACAAACCAATGCGCACACCTTTGTCCGAAGATGCCATAAACAATATTGTTGAATACAAAAATGATTTAGTGCAATGTTCCGAAAGGTTGGACCCCAAAATATCTGGACTTTTGGATGACATTTTAATTGATAAAAAAGGGCAGAAAGTCGTTTTGGTTCCTGTTTTGTCAGTTGGAAGAAAAAGTAAGTACATAATATGTTATATTGTTTTTATAATTTTTTATCAGTTTTAATAAAAAAATATTTATTTCTTAAATGAATAGGTATATTAATTTCAAATAGGTAAAATAAAGACGAGCGCAATCTTAAATCTAAAAGTAATAAAATGATTTTATTATATTTGTTCAAATTTGTGCTCACTGGGGAGCCTGCAGGCTATAATTAATATTGCGGATTTTATTTTGTTTATCAGGTTAAACCAACAGTTTGTTAATTTAATAATCCCATATAATTTACTTGATATTATTTTATTATTGTTATTTTTATTTAACCAATAAGATATACTTGGAGATTAAATTTGAACCAATTTTTATCTTGTTAATTATTTATTGTGCTTTAAAATTTTAAATATTATTTTGTATCAAGAAACCCAGGTAGCACAACGTGACGAAACCGTGACGATTTGTGTCCATTGTGTCCAATTGGACACAAATCCCTAAACCAAACCAAATAGATGAACATCTGACGGTATAATTTTGATGCAATGAAGCGCCCTTATACGGTTATGGAGGAACTAAAATGCAGCGTTGCCAAAAGCGACCGCGTATATTTGAATTTTAAAAATTTATTTTATTATTTGAGATTGTCAGCGTTACCAAATTCTGTCAAAAAAACGTAGATTTCGAAATAACCTTAACTAAATAACTAAATATTTTACACAATCAACAATAATTAAATATCATAAAATGACAATTTGCATTTTATCATTTTTATAGTTATAATACAATAAATAATATAATCAAACAAATTATACCTTTTTTTTACAGAATTGGGCCACATTGGGTCTATATATAAAAATTTAATTTTAAATATACAAATTAAAATAAAAATAGTTAAGGGTATAATTAAAGTAATTTGAATTAGAAATATTTCTTTATTATGTATTACAAAAATATATATAAAATATACCTCTTAAAAAATATTAGTAATAAAAGTACATACAGTAAAAGATTATAACATAAAAAAAACCTAATATTTCCCCTTAAAATTTAGCAAAAAAACTTGTATTGAAAAAAAGAACAAACCTCTACATTTTTTAAAACTAAATTTAATAAAACTTAAAAATACCTGGTAATAATTTTGTTGGGTAAGCCTGACGATTAAGCCTTCTATTAGCTATAAAGTCTTTCTCAGCAAAATGCTTTGAACACACTCTGCAGTTTTTGAAGACTTTTTCAGGTGTCGTTTCAAAAAGTCGTTTATTTTGACACAACTTAACCCACTGATTAAACAAGTCCATATGCCAAGGACGTGACGTCATTAGACACAGCGACATCTGTAGGACATGGAGAAAGTTTATTTTAAAATACCCCCCCCCCCCCTATTGAGATATTCGTCTATTTGGTTTGGTCTAGGCACAAATCTTCACGGTTTTGTCACGTTGTGCTACCTGGGAACAAGAAACCTGTGACGGGCGAGTTGACGGTATAGGGTTACCACGTAATCTGTCATTGTTAAAAATTTAATGACGTACATTTTTCAGGTTGTTAAAACAATTTGTTGGCTAATTAAGTGTTTTGTAAACAATATTACTGATACTAATTTATGATTGAAGCGCATTTGTCAAATTTTAACGAAAACAATTTAATAACTCTTAAACCTGATTTATAGATTGCCTTCCATCCTTCCTTCCTTCCTCCCATAAAAGATGAACAATACGAAAATCGTAGTGCCATTTATAAATTCCCGTACGCGAATCTTTGAACAGCACAACTGTTTTTGTATTGTTCATCTTCTACGGGAGGAAGGAAGGAAGTCAATCTATAAATTAGGCTTAAAACTTTTTACTTTAGGTACAGGACATGGTATAGTAAATTTACTTAGAATTTTATACAGAATTTAAAAATAAAAAAATATCTCTCGCACTGTGTGACGTCATGAGCGAACCAAAAGCTGGCGGGTAACTGGGTTGAAATGTTATTTGCACTACAAATTCAAGTTATATTCGAAAATTATATATATAATTATAAATATAGGGACGGCTTGGGTGCAATTATTAAGTGTAACAAATGTTAAGAGAAAAAAAATTAACTGGCAGCAAGCGCTTTTAATACTAATGTAACATATTTTAAGCAACAATTAATTTTCTACCTTTCTATTATTATGTTTCAAAATATTTTTTATTTTATTGTATTAACTTTACTTACGCTAAACCGAATTTTATAACTTTTTAATGTGAAAGGTAACAAAATTATAAAAATGCATTTATACAGGTAATAACAACGCTAACCCGCTTTAAAGTGTCAAAAGTAAAAAAAATCTCAAAACTGCTTTTTTACTTGTGACACTTTTAAAGCGTGTTTCAAAAACAATTGTGTTTTAATTTTTATTATTGGTAAGAACTTATGCAAGCTGTAAAAAATTGTAGTTAGGGTGAAAAGTTACTATAAGTACCTAACAAAAAATTGGATATACAAAAAATTGCCTTTAGTTACCGTTTTTTATTTTTATTTTATCCTTTCTCTTGCATGCATTCATCCACTGTGCTGCCATATCTTTATTTTTTGGAAATCAAAAATATTTAATGTTACTCTCAAAAAATGAATTAGTCAAAAATGACTAATTTAATAGTTTTAAGTGGCTGCTTTTTCACTTGTACCATTGTTAACCATGCAATACCATGGCATCCCAAAACTTAACAGCCAAATCTTATGTAAAATTGTCCCCTGAATTCGAAAATGTCGTCAAAAGTTAAAAAAAAGTAGAACAGTTTTTGAAATATAGTCAATTTTCCATTTAATATGGAATTGACTATAGGTATCTCACAAACTGCTCCACTTTCATAATTTTTGGATTCAGGGGACAATTTTACATAAGAATTGAAAGTTAAATTTTGGGATACCGTGGTAATTCCATGGTTAACCATGGTACAAGTGAAAAAACAGCCACTAATAACTATTAAATTAGTCATTTTTGACTAATTTATTTTTAGAGAGTAGGTTAGAAATCGTAGTATGCCCATTTTAACCTAAATTTGCAGCAATTATTTTTATTTAAAAAATCATTTCAGGATACTATTGTCCCGGCCAATCGGAAATAATGCCCGTATATTTGGTGGCTTTCCTGGAACCGGAAAGAGAAACCGAATACATAACGAAACTGGTCAACGAAACCTTCAAGTACTGCAACACGTTGCTACTAAACACGAGGGAAATGGAGGAGGAAGCCCGCCTGAAAAAACAATGCCAATCCCTGCTGTCCGTCGCAAGAAAGCTGTTCTCTCACTTAGGGGACCTCAGCGACCTCCTGAAAGAAATCATGTCAGAAGCTAGGCGACTGACGAACGCGGAGCGCTGCTCGTTGTTCCTGCTGGACCCGGATCACATGCACCTGGTGGCCAAGGTGTTCGACGGCGTCAGCCCGGCCGACAAGAACACCGAGGTCAGGATCGCGAAGGATCAGGGCATCGCTGGTCACGTGGCCGTCTCCGGCCAGCTGCTGAACATCAAGAACGCCTACAAGCACCCGCTCTTCTACAAGGGCATGGACGAGGCCACGGGGTTCAAGACGAGGAACATCCTGTGCTTCCCGATCAGGGACGAGGACAACATCGTCGGCGTTGCCCAGCTGTGCAACAAGATGGGCGGGAATTTCGATTATTTCGACGAGCAAGTGGCCGACGCTTTCAGCATTTATTGCGGCATTTCTATTATGCATAGTTTGGTTTACAAGAGGATACAGGACGCGCAAGCTAGAAGCAAACTTTCCAACGAGCTTATGATTTATCACATGCATGTAAGTATTTTATATTTCATCCATTTTTTTAAATTAATATTGATTTTTCCTTGACTTGTTAAAGTTTCGAATTTTAAACATGTAAAATTGATCATTTATTGAAACTACGAAATAATAGAAAATTAAATATTTTAGTCTCAAAATTATCCATATATTAATAATATTACTATTATAGAAAATGGAATATAGCTTATTTTTTTATTTATTTTTTTATTACTTGTTAAAGTTTTGAATTTTTAATATGTAAAATTGATCATTTATTGAAACCACGAAATAGAAAATTAAATTTTTTAGTCTCAAAGTTATTAAGCTTAATTTTCATGTATCCGTTTGTCCGATCATCCGGGAGCGCTCTTATTGGTCCAATTATAATTCGAAAATTATGACATTTTACCGGTCCGTCAAGTTTTAACTTCGTACGTCTGACGGAGTAAGTTAAAATAATTTTAACTAATCTGTCACTACACATCTGTTTTTGACGAGTAACGTTATTTTAAGATAATTTATTTTCAAATCTTTAAAAAAAAATTTAATACGATTGTAAAACGGAAATATTAGGTTTGTTATGTGAATAATGTTCTACTGTTATGTTTTTATTTAATAAGAATATCCAAAACAAAGAAAATACAAACAAAAAATATTAAAACCAGAACTAAAAGGACCTGCTTTTTTAAAACTATACATTTTAATGTATATTAAAGCTAGTATATTCTTTTAATATATACCATATATGGTATATTTACCTACCTTTAAATTTATTAGACAGCTACATGTTAAAGTTTCAATGGGGTAGTTAAATTTTGTCTGACCTATACTTTTTATGGTTTTATTCAAGGCGTTTTGTAATATTAAACATTTCTGTGAAATCAGAATTTCAATTGAGTTTACCGTTTTCGAGATATTTACAAAAAATATAAATTTTTATGACGTCACAAACCCCGCCATGTGACCAACATTCTAAGATTTCTATTGGTTGAAAATTACCCTGTTGTCAATTTGTCTTGTTAATGATTTCATTCGGTTATGTCAGAAAATACCCGAAGAGGTTATGTACAAATACTGTCACTGTCAGTTGAGTGAAAGAAGAAGAAGAGGAGGTTAAAGAAAATTCCGAAATTAAAAGTTTTATTGATAGGTTTACACATTGAAACACCGTGTGAAACCTAATAAAATGTAATAAATAGGTACCTAATAACTGTCTAAAGCAGAGTTTAATATATTTCATAGAAAAAAGTGGCAAAATAAAGCTGAAAATGAATGAAATAAATTTACAAAAAATAATAATATATCTAAAACAATATAAAGAACTAGGCATTATACTAATGAAATGCATTTACGACAAAATATGATTATAATTATAGGTACTTACTTTATTTGTTTAAAAGCTCCAATTGATGTTCAATGTAACCAACCATTCCACAAGATTCCTTTGCTTTGGAGTCCGTTATTAATAAATCACTTATCTAATATCAATTACAAATAACATAACAGTAACATTGATTTTCAATAATCTAAATTTAAAAAAAACAACCCGAAAAAAAGAAACGTCAAAAAATCAATTCTTCTTCTTCTTCTCAACTAAAATATTATAACGTGGCGCCATCTATCGTAAGAATCTTAAACTAAACACACTGGCAAGCATAGAAAAAGCTGGCAACGTTGTCAATAGCCTAGTGACGTAATTAGGAGATTTTGTTTTGTAAATATCTCGAAAACGGTAAACTCAATTGAAATTCCGATTTCACAGAAATGTTTAAAATTACAAAACGCCTTGAATAAAACCATAAAAAGCATAGGTCAGAAAAAATTTAACTACCCCATTGTTGACATAATTGTAACTATGATAATTAAGCATTAGGCAAATTTCGCCAAATCAATCCGTTAAACGGATGCATGATAATTAGAACATTTCTTGTCGGACGATTTTATTGAAAAACGGACAAACGGATACTAATGGCATTTTGAATAGTTATATTAATCTAATAAGAGAAGAAATGTCAATGTATTAAGTAATCTCTAAGTACCAGTACACATTTGTGTATAGTTCATTCATTAATGTTATGCCTCTAATTAAATTAATGTTGAAAACCATTATTTTTTATAATTTTTGACCTTTGTGAACACTCTGTCTAAGTTAGAGTAACAAAACTAAGCGAATGTGTAGTTTGTGTAATACCTACCTAAAGAAATGACTGATGATTTATTTTTTACAAATTTGACCATTTTATTACAATTTTTTTTGGGTATGTCAATTTTGGAAACGCTATCTGTTTTTAAATTTGAAAAATGCCTAATATTCTATTAACTATAGAGGGCTCTGGAAATGACATTAATTTTTTTTTCTTCAAAAGATAGTGCTTTTTAAGTACTATAAACCAAAATTCTTGAAATCGGTAAATTTTTTAATAAATACCGAATTGTCGCCAATCAAAATGGAACACAATGGATGTAATTCATTTATTTTTATTTTTTTCAAGGTGAGTGAACAAAATGTGGCAGACTTGGTCTTATGCGACAGTCCGCACATCCATCCAGACTTCGGCCTGTTTTCCTTTACGCCGAGAAAGATAATTTTCAACGAAACTCCCTGCTACGTATTAAAAATGTTCGAGGACTTGGGTTTCGTCAACGAATTTATGATCAAACGTGAGGTCCTCGCCAGGTTCATACTTTACGTGAAGAAAGGCTACAGAGACGTCCCGTACCACAATTGGATGCACGCCTTTTCCGTCGCTCATTTCGCCTACTTGTGCTTGAAGAACTTTCAGCTCGTGGAAAACAAGTATTTTAGGTAAGTTAAATGTCACACACAATATAACCTTTAATCTGCTATTGGCTGAAATGTTGACTAGAAATGTTTCTTAAAACAAATTAACCATGGAAACATTAAAACATATATATTTATTAAAAATGAAAGATTTAGGGTTTTAAAGTGTCAGAAAAAAACTGTAAAAATTGAGAAAAAACCTTTTTTCCTGTTTTTCCCAGGTCTTGGAAAAACTGTATTTTTTGAGAAAAATTGATTTTTTTTAAAAATATACACATTTAAAAAAAAGTAGCAATCAACAACTTAACATTAATTTAATTTAAAAAAATATAAATATAATAAATTAAATTGAATGAAAATGAACGTAAACGTTAAATATACTGTCGGTTGGGTCTTTTTCACAAAAAGTACTTCATTAAAATATCCAATTACAAAATAATTAATGATTTATTAAGTTAAATTACAAAATTATAATTTTATAAATAAAGTGTGAAATAAAACAAAACCTTTGTTACAAAAGTTAATACAAAACCAAATGTGTTTTTTGCGGCCCGGTAGAATGTTCTTCTGAAATAAAATAAAAGGAATAATTATTATAATCATAATATTATGATTATAATCAGCGTCGGAAATTTTTCTAAAAAATTCCCAATTTTTCCTTTTTTTCCGAGAAAAAACCGCGGCTACTGATCTAATTAAATTAAAATTTGTACAGAATCAGGATTATTAATATACAAGGTGTCCTTGAAATGCCTGTATATTTTTAAATATTTTTAAAAAATATTTATTTTAAGTTCAAATTTATAAAAAAACTTATACTTATATATTTACTTTCAAGTTGGTTATTATCAACTTTAGTATAGCTGTACATTTATTTCGGCCTCAGGAATATGTGGTATCATTTTGTACAGGTATTTCTGGAACAACTTGTATAAAACTTTGTTAAAATTTCATAATGATATTTTAAGTAGTTTTTAAAATAATTTGATTGTCTTTTCACGATTTTAATCATTTAAACCCTTAAAAATCGTCGCCACTGAATAAAAATTTGTACACAAGATTAAAACCACAAAAATTTGGTGTTAAAATTTCATAATGATATCTTTATTAATTTTTTTTATAATTGATTTTTTTTGTTGGAAAATATACACATTTTAAAAAATGTAGCAATCAACAACTGTAACCCGAAACGTTTCGGGTGTTACAGTTTTTAAAGAAGAAAAAAACATATCAAATTATAAGACTATAGTCTTATGCTTAGGTATTAGTAAATCATTACCACCATAATCTTACTTGTACTAAATATTATTACATTAATCAATCTGTAAGGTATAATAATAAAAAACTTATCTGATTTTTCGTTTCGGGTGTAACAGTGTAAAAGTAACAATAAAACACACTTATAACGTGATAATTAATATTTTTTTCGGAACTGCGACACAATCCACCAATACTACGATAAATAACTTTTAATCACAATGTTGCAAAACGGTTGACAGATTGACAGTTTTTTTTCTTCGTATTTCCAATAATTAGAGGCACATTGGTCATTCAGCCAGTTCACTTGAGTACAGAGTTTAAATACTAATTAACTTAAAAATTACGCGTTTCTTCTAGTTTTTTTTGTCGCACATTATAATTTGGAATGTTTTCTTTCAAAATTCATCAGATTTAATTCAAAAAGAACATATTTATTTTTTCACCCTCAGTATCGTTTGTCAAGGAATGACCCACCTGTGTATTGCTAAATTGTTCGGTTTTTGAGCTAGTGTCAACCAAAATTCTTTTTAGTAATCTTGAGGCCATGGCCTACTTCATCGCTTGCCTTTGCCACGACATCGACCACAGAGGCACCACGAATTCCTTCCAGCAACAATCTAACAGCGTGTTGGCCAGCTTGTACTCGAGCGAGGGGTCCGTAATGGAAAGACACCACGTCTCCCAAACGCTTTGTATTTTGAATACAGAAGTAACAAAATCGATTGATAAATAGTGGGGTTTTTGTTTTACCGATGTTTTTCCAGGGTTGTAACTTTTTAGAGTCACTGAATCACGAGGATTACAGCAGGTGCTTGGACTTGATCAACCACATGATTTTGGCCACGGATTTGGCGTCCCATTACAAAATACACAATAAACAACTTATTATGGCGACAGTAAGACGTTTTAATATACAGTGTGTCTACTTAAGTTGGCAAGATATGGAAAACTTTTTTTTATTAATTTTAAGAAAAAAAGTTATTCTTCATAAAAAGTTCTACATGTTCTAAAATTTAAAATACAATCATCAGATATAAAAAAATTTCAGTCGTATACGCGGTTTGTCAAATCTTACTCAATCTTACTTATATTTGACAATATCGAAAATTCTTATTTAAAAAAGTTGATCAGAACTAATAACTACGTTTAAATATGCAATTACTTTCATTTACATGGAAAAAACATTTTTTCTTTTTTATTTACAATAACAAATGTTTACAAATAATTTGTTGACTTTGTTGATTTGAAGAAATGTTTGACATTGAGTGTCAAAACATCGCCTTCGGCTCGTGTGACAAACTCTTCACTCGAGCGGAATATGCTGTATTCCAAACTTGTTACAGAATATACTATTCTGAACGGAACGGAAAGGTTTGTAATAAATAGAAAAGATAAATGTTCGGTATCGGTAATTTGTGACTCAAAAATAAAGGTATTTTACTCTTGTACCAAATTCATTTTTTTGTCAAACCTCGTATATGACTAAAAAAATTTGATATCTGATGATTTTATTTTATATTTTAGAACATGCAGAACTTTTTATAAAGAATAACTTCTTCGTAAAATTAATAAAAAGAAAGTTTCCCATATGTTGCCAACTTAAGTAGAGACACTGTATATTTTTTTAAACAATTTTTTATTATTTTTAAACTTTAGGAAGGGTACCATCCCAAAGACCCAGAGCACAGATACATACTTGCTTGTTTGCTGATGACATGCGCAGATCTGTCAGATCAAACGAAGGTAACTTTTTGAAGGAAAAAAATATTGTTGTCGTATTTAATTTTATTTCTTAGGATTGGATCGAGACTAAACGGGTCGCCCAATTAATTTACGCGGAATTCTTTGCGCAAGGCGATTTGGAAAAGAAAATGGGCAAGGAACCCGCAAACATGATGGACAGGGAGAAAGCTTCCATTCCCGACCATCAGCTGGTGTTCCTCAAAGACTGTGTTATATGCATATTCAAGTAAGTAATTAAGTAAAATTGGCCGGATTTGAATCCGACCTTGGAATTGCTCCATCACGTCAGTTTAAGAAATTCTAGAATTTCTATTCTATTCTATTATATATTTATAACATAGAGATTGCCAAAATTTCAAACCCTTGCAGCTAGAAATGTAAAATGCTCGTGCATTTATTTTTGGTGAACGCAAGTTGAGCACAAACGAGAATAAACCAGCATAAACGAGCATATACGAGCAAAAACGAGAATTTCCCGAGAATTTATTAACAGCATAGTCAAATTAGGACATTGCACGTTTTTTCTCAATAAATGGTGAAGATTCTTAATTTTCTCAATATTCTCGAGAAGATTCTCAATATTCTTGAAAAGAAAAAACTTTTAATCCAAATCGATAAATGGAAAAAACATACCTATTTATAACAAAAATAATTTAAATTTAAATTAACTTAAGTTATAACTTATAATAACGGAACAAAACTCGGTCTTCTTAAACTACACAGAGTAAATACAAAAGGTCATCTTTTAAAGATGAATAAATAAAATGATCATTTCAATTTCATGTTCCTTTTCCACGCGGCTTTTGAGAAATAACTGTTTTAAATCTATACATTATTAATAAAAATGTATGCATATATTAAACGAAATTTAAAAAAAATATTTTAACAAACCGCGAGGCGAGATAAACTTGAAATTTTGTCAATCCTCGCGAAGCTTCTCCAAACACAATCGAGAACGTTCCCTCCTTCACATCACTACTTGCAGCACAGACACTAGGTTTCGAAATTTAAAAAAAACTTCTATACTAGGGGCCATATTATTGGCTTTAATAGAAAGCCCTTAGGGCCTTTCCATCTCAAATCGACCCGGTAGGTCGATATTTTTAATCGAAATTTTGTTTACATTTTCTTTACCGAAATCGATGAGATCCGTATTTTTTCTTTTTACCAGTGACATTTTTTCTTGAAAATGCGATAACTTGGCCAAAAATGTTTCGATCCTCACTTTTTTTTTAAATTGTACATAAAAGTTTACGACATACAAAAAATATATAAAAACTCAAGTGAATTTACTCAATTTTTTTCCAATAAAAAAATTGAGGTCAAAATTCTGACATTGCCGTCGTTTCGGTATTATTATTTTTTTAATGAAAATGCCATTTTCTAGTAAATTCGTGGTTCATCGCTAAAATTTGTTATTTTATTTAGGGTCATGAAACTGGGGTGACCTTTATAAAGTCTAATTTATAACTTTTTACATATTTAACATATTTTTGTCACATCCGGTTTCACCGGAAATGGTCTTAACTTTTTTAATAAAACAACCTATTTCCATTCAAAATAAAATTCTGAATACAATTTTTGACAGGTCAAATGATTTTTTGATTACAATTTATTTCTTTATTCAGAGTGCCTTTTGAATTGGCTTTTCTGCTTCATGTTGAGCAAAGTAGTATGGAAAAAATACAATTTTATTCTTTTTTTACAATGCTGGTTTTTAGGAGCTTGTAAAAATTGAAAAACCATACTCTATGCCAACACTTTTTTTAATAAAAGATGGTGGTTCGTGGGTCATAAAAGAAATCCCCTTTTTTTTTAAATTTGTTGCCAAATATTATTGCATTTTTTAATAAAATCGCTTTTAAACCTTTGTGTTTAAAAGAAGTATCAGATTTGACAGTTCGTTAGTTTGTTTTGCTGGTAAGTGATTATTTACATTTTATTTTACCATGAAAACGTACGCTAAAACTTTTTATAAAATAAATAATAATTGAGGTGGTTAAAATCAAAGGGGTGCAAGTAATTGCTCAACATTTTTGGATTTTAAAACTACTAAATAAAATCATTCAAATATTTTAAAACGATTATAAAATAGTATATTAAAGTACAAGTTGCAGAAGGCCACATATTCTCGCACGAATTCGAAATTTGGCCTCGAGCGACGAAGGAGCGAGTGGACGAACGAATGAGTGCGAGAATAGCCTTCTGCAACGTGTGATTTATACTATTTTCTCGATTTTAACTTTTATTTAGGTTTTTTTAATTGTTTTGTGGTCGTTGTTAGTTGGGGGATTTTTCTCGCAAAATGTCAGTTGGCAACACAAAATGACAATATTTGTTATCTTGGACACTTTTTCACATTAAACTTAAAATTTTGCATTAAAATGCATTATTGGAGCAAACTTAATATTACAAAACAATAATAAAGGATTCATTTTCAATAAAAGTGTAGTTCAGGTTGCACTAGTGCAGGATAACAAGCAAAGCTATTATAAATAATCCTAAAAGTAATGAATTTGAGGTTATTAAACAGTTTGACATTTTGGGGGTACCAATACTTAAAAACAAAATGTTACCAAAAATCGTTTAAGAATGAGCTTCATTCTTCAACGATTTTGCGTGCTAGAATATGACATTCTTACATAAAAATCGAGAAAGTTATATCTAATTGCCCCATAGTGTGGCCATTGTAGGAAATCTCTGGCAATAAATAAAAAAACGAAATATGAAATCAAATACAAATTTGTTATATCTAAACATAATTAACCTGCTCATTAGTTGCTGGACCTCTTAGGCTTAATACTTATTTCCCTTCCTGATAGAACCAAAAATAATTTTGATACTGCCTCACTTATATCTGTTAACCGACCAAAATTTTTCGGAATTGTTTGTGTTCTCAATTTCTTCGAAATCGCGTTTTTATAAGTTTCTTGTGCATTCGATTCATTACTTTTAGGTATATGTATAATGCTTACTTTTTATTATTTTTAAACAAAATTAACTTACGTATACTTTTTACTTTTATACACATGAGACATTCTTTTACAAATCGTACACCTATTTTGACTTCAGGGTTTGGATTCGCATGAAATTTTTTTTACCGCTTCTATTCAGTAAATAAGCAGATACGTGTATCAGGTTTTCTGTAAAAAAATTGTTTTTTCAGAGATATGTTGATATAAAGTTTTTATGAATTGCGATAAAACGATGAATTCTCTTCTACATAAAACCCATTATCTCCAGTTCTACTGATCGGATCGATTTTGTTTTTTTTTTGTTTTAAACCTTATTGAATAGGCTTTTCAAATAAATAAATTAAAATTATTATTTTTTTAAGTATAGGGAGTTAATAACAGATTAATTTTTTAAACTAGTTTTTCATGTTTGCCCCCTCTATAAAATAAAAGGAAAAAAATACTATTTTATGCGCTTTTTCTTTATCTACAAAATACATTTTTCAGAACAGTGGAGACTCTTTTGGATCGGAAGATATTAAACATTTTCGAGCGCGTGACAGGACTGTCAAGCGCGTAATATTCAAACGTATTAGTGCATGTGGTGGGTGACGTGATATTTTGTATAAGAGTGCCATGATTCGACATCTTTTAATAGACCTATCCCATAAAACGGACTTTTGGATAGCGCGTGCGTGAAAAGGCACGTCGTCTTTTTTTAATTATATAAAAGAGAAAGAGATACCACCCTTCTTCAGGCACGCGCTATCCAAAAGTCTGTTTTATGGGATAGGTCTATTGGTGACTTATTTGTGCAAATGTCAATTCTGCCAGTTAATAAATTTACTCATTAATTGGAGTTTGTATTATTTAAAATTTAATTTATTTAAAATTATTGAAAACCTTTAAAATCAGAATTAATTTACAAAAAGCGCTGGTATTTTTGTAAAACGATGTATGAGTTTACACTATAGTACAGTCATCTTAGTCAAAAAAACTTGTGAGCGGCCTTAGATATTCAAGGTCAAAGGTCGCAAAAATCAGTTTTTTAAGAATATCTCGTTTTCTCTGCCTCCTATCGTATTTGCATTTATTATAAAAGTTTTATAGAATAAAATTCTCTACAAATTTTGTTTACAAAATTTGTTTATACGTCGAACCGTTTTTGAGATAGAGGGCGCAGAGTGTGGAGCGCTCAGCCATACGTACCTTTAGCGCAAGGTAAATCGTGAATCCCAATCTATTATACCGTTTTTTTAAATAATTATTTAATAAATATTACCTAAATAAGAATTTAATACCTTATACTTATATTTATTTTTATTTTAAATCAAATATATTTTATCTTCATATATATCTTATATTTTAATTTAATTTCAATGAAGGATAATTGGATCGTAGTAGGAAAAAATGTTTTTATTTATATCAATATTATAATTATTATTATTATTAATATTATTATTATTATTATTAATCTTTATCTTCTTCATCCTCGTTATCATAGACATTAATTGTCATATCTTCAAAAACTTACTTATAACGCGTTTGTACTTTGCAGATTTTTTTGCCTTTGTTGCCTCATCTGCGACTTCACCACAAAATAAGCAAAATATTTTAAAATCAAACACATCATTCCCTTTTTTACGAGGTACAGTTGATGACGTTGAAGGTTCAGTCTCTTCAAGGCGACGTTTTGCTGCTGCAATTTTACTATAGTACGCTATAGCGTACAATTTTCGAAACTCAATATGAAGGTTCACAGAAGTCAAAGTATTTAGGTAGTTTATGTTTATTTCTCTCAATAATTGCTTCTTTTAAAGTCTTTATACCGCGCACAAAAGTCACAGAATCACCTTCAGAAAGTAACTTATTACAAATAAAACACAAATCAGCCATGTTAACCTTTAAAATATTACGAATATTATCTGTCACAACCCTAGACCTATACCTAGGGTCACAACTTGCTTTAAATATAGGTATACCTAACCTTTTTATTTATAGCAAGCCCGCTATAGTATTTCCAGGTCTGTTATTTTAAAAGCAATATCTGGATCCAAGAGATGACCAGAGACATATTCAAGGCAAATTCATTTAATGTATTTTCTTCTTAAAATGCATTTATCATTAATTAGAATAACATTAGAATATATTTAGAATAATTCACTTCATTATTTAATTATTTGTATGTCAAAAGTAAGTAATATTTAATGACTATCTGTTTTAAAAAATAACAATTTAAAACCTTATATAAGGTTTTAAATTGTTATTTAAGTAATATTTAATAAATAATTATTTAGAAAACGGTATAATAGATTGGGATTCATGATTTACCTTGCGCTAAAGGTACGTATGGCTGAGCGCTCCACACTCTGCGCCCTCTATCTCAAAAACGATTAGACGTATAAAAAAATTATTTAAACAAAATTTCTAGAGAATTTTATTCTCTACAACTTTTATAATAAATGCAAATACGATAGGAGGCAGAGAAAAGGAGATATTCTCAAGAATTTGATTTTTGCGACCTTTGACCTTGAATATCTAAGGCCGCTTACACGTTTTCAATGCATTTGCATTTGCAATGCTAAAATAAAGGTTTGTACAAAAATTCAGCTTATTCCGTTAGATTCCGAGGTGAAATGCTAAGCTGACTGGTCTACTATCCTAAATGTGTTAGCGTTTCGAAGATGTCTGATTAGGGGGTGTCCATTAATTACGTGAGTCAATTTTAGCGATTTTTTGACCCCCTCCCCCCTTGCTGAGATGTCGTGAGATTTGGCTCAACCCCCTCCCCCTAATCTCACGTGAGATTTTAAAAAATGCTTATTTTTAATGTTTATACGTTAAACTGCTTGATTCTGTTGGATTTATTAAAAAAACATACTTTGTTAAAAATTACGTGATATTTGCCGAGACCCCCCCTCTCCCTTATGTGAGAATTGATGAGATTTGGCTTGACCCCCTCCCACCCCTAAACGCCTCACATAATTAATGGATGCCCCCTTACGGCTTGTACCGGTCACGCGCTCGAAAATATTTAATATCTTCCGATCCAAAAAAGTCTCCATTTTTCTGAAAAATTCATTTTGTAGAGTAATAAATAGTGCATAGAACAGTATTTTTTTAATTTTTTTTCATAGAGGGGGCAAACACAAAAAATCTGTTTATACAAAAAAAAATATTTTTTTTCATATAATAAACAAAACACAAACTTTTTAAATATTTATCTAAAAAGACTATGTAATATGGTTTAAAATAAAAAAAAAATGAAATCGATCCGATCAGTAGAACCGGAGATAATGAATTTTAAGTACAAAAGAATTCAGCATTTTTTCAAATTTTATCAAAAGTTTAAATCAATATATCTTTGGAAAAATAAATTTTCTGCAAAAATTCCGATATAGGGGTCGGCTAAATTTATGAAAAGATGCTGTAAAAAAAAATTAAGTCATTTTAAAAATTTGAAAAAATATGTTTTCTGTAATCCGTACGATATGTAAAAGAATGTCTCACATGCAAAATATTAAGAATTTACCTTTTGCTCTAAATTTAATAATTTAATTTACTTAAGAGCATTTCCGGTGAAAGCAGAAGTTACAAAAATATGATAAATTTGTCAAAAAGTTCTAAATAAATACAAAATTTTTGCGATGAACCACGAATTTACTAGAAAATGGCATTTTTATTAAAAAAATAATAATTCTGAAACGACGAATTTGACCAACTTTCATATTATCAACTTCAAACGAAAAAATTATAAAGTAAAAAAAAAATGTGGCAATATCAAAATTTTGACATCAATTTTTTATATGTTTTCTAGAAAAAATTGAGATAATTAGTAAATATATTTTATTACATAATTACCTAGAAATGTTTTATTTTTAAATTTGGCATCTCCATTGCTATCGGCACGCCCCCTTTTTCTCTGTGGCACCCTGTATAAAAACTAATTTTTAGGCTTTTGGCGAATATGTTCCCAAAATCGAAGGTAATGATTGAGACTATAAAGAGGAACATTCTTTGCTGGGAGGCGGCAAAAATAATTTTCGACAAAAAGGCGTTGGAAGGAAAGACGTCTTACGAAGTATTATCGAGCAACGAACTCGACACCGAAGTAGAATCCTTCCTGAAAGAAACCAGCAGCCCAAAAACAGAGTTCTATTAATACTTAAGTAATAAAAACTAATATATCAAATACAAATGTAACCAATAAAGACGTATCATGCAATAAGGATCCAAATATGTCATATCTGGGTAAAAATGCTACAGGGTGGCGGTTATAACTAAATGTGTTTACGTTGACTGCTTGAAGTAGTTAGGTTGAAAGGTTTCCCTTTAAAGGTCCACTTGCAGATATAAAAGTATATATTTTATTAAATGTTATATTAGGACCAAATAAAGACTAAATGATTCTTGACACTTTCTTCCATAAGGTAGTAATTAACATAAATTCATTTTTGAATTAGTTGTATTAAGACTGTAAAATTAAATTTCTAGTCCAAATAATAATAATCCAGAATGTTATACAAATATTTAGGTTTTATTTAAGATTAATGGTTGTGATTTTTAGAATATACTTAGCTTACATAATTAATTATACAAAAGTAGATTTTCTTTATTATTATGAATTACAAAAAGGGAAATCTTGTGTTAGAATAGAAATTCAAATTATTTATTTATATAAATGTAGTACAAAATTTTATTTTATTGAACAAGTTATTTATTATTTCCATGCTATTATATAGCCTTATTTAATGTTTGAATAAATATATGCATGTTAATTAAAAGGCTTTTAATGAAATTTCAGTCCTTGGAAGGAGCCCACAAATCTCGTGACGGCCTAGGTGGAGGGGGGTTTTAGGGACTGTCACGATTTTCTACGCCTAAGGGTATTTTAAAACGTCACGTGATAAAGTTCCATTTTTAGTCAATTATTACAAAAAAGAATCGGACAAAATATTTTAGTCACGAGGGAGCGTCAATTATGACCCTTTTAGCGTCATGAGATTTATGGACGGCCCCGAAGTTATTTAAATAATTATAATTATTATAATAAATGAAAATGTATGCCTAAATATATTTTACCTGTTTATTTATTTCACTTCAAGTTAAAGTAGTACATCTATTGGTCCAAATGACAACGAAATTTCAAGCATATATTCGACAGACTTAAATAAAAACAGTACATGTAAAACCCATATTAATAAAATAAAAAATATTTTTTTAAGAAAAATTAATGCACTAAATAGTATATAATATCTTTTTAACTATTTCACACTGCATTATTATATGAAGGAGTAGACTTGCAAAATGCATTTTGTGCAAAACTAATTTTGGGTCTTTCCTAGTTTTTTTTAACTATTTTTCAACCTCCTAGTAACGAAATATGAAACTTATAACCTTTATAAGACAGCAATGAAGCTAAATAATAGTATATTATGTATCAAGTTTAGTAAACGCCATTTTTGTCACGAAATTCATTTAGGCACGAGCGAGCTTGCGAGCGAGTGACTAAATGATTGCCTAAAAAAGTTTATTAACGAGTTGTATACTATACTTTTTCTATGACAAAAACTTAAAAAATGATTTAAATTAAATATTTGTATAAAGAGACATCTATACAAAATAAAGTAACTATCCCAATAAACACTTGGCGTAATTTTCACTATTAATATTGCCCGTTATTATTTTAATTATAATTGACTATTATTGACACTTTAAAATATTAAAATAACTTCAAAATATGATTATTTCAAGAAAATATTTTATCCATTGATTTTTTTATTACTACACTTGCAAAATATCACAAATAACAAATTCTTACACGGGAAATGTTAAAGGTACAAAAAGTGACAGTTTTATTTATTGGAATTCCCTTTGGAATTTCTTGGGAATCTACCAGCGTTAAAATATCAAATTTTTTTGTGTAAATCAAAATTTATTCCTTGAAAATAGACAGTAAAAGAGAAGAGAATACACTGAATGCAAAATTTTTAACGCGTTATCAGTTAAATCCAGTTAACTACTACGGCGAAATCAAAAGTTCAGTAAAAACGTTCATAAAATCTTTTCAAATATTGGCATTAAGAAACTATTTAATACTTTTGTATTTTTGTATTGAGATAATAAAATAATTTTCACATTCAGTATTATTTTAAAAGAAATGCACTTTATTTTAACAATTGTATGACATTTGACAACTGACAACTAACATCAGCCCGTGACTAAAAACCTGCGACTAAAACCACAACTTGTCAATGTGTATTTAAAAGGTCACTTACTAAGTGACACTTGGTGTCATCATTGAAACATGTACGATAATGGGCGTTTTAAAGGTGGGAGTAGAAAAAATCATTTAAAAAAGGTCAGGTTGTATGAAAAAACACATTTGACACAAAATGATGATGTTTTAGATTTTATAATGGCATGTTTATAATAGCAAGAATTTGGCAACGTCCTATGTCGACCACGATAGCCAAAAGGTTTTTATCATAGACATATTAATGTATAAATGGTTTTAATAATTAACTATTTTATTTGTTTTCTGTTTTATACCAACTGCTTTGGCATTGTTTTTACGAGATTTTTAGTGGCTTTTACATAATATGCATATTATGCCACTTTTTACTTTTTATAAAGCTAAACCACAGGAATTTATGTAAGGTTAACCAAGGCGATGTAAGCAAATGTTTAAAAAAAATTTAATATAACCAAAATTTTATTTAATTGACAATTCGTATCATATGTGGTATTAATATGTCTATGGTAAATCCCTCATGTATTTAAAATATAGCGAATAAGCAGTATGTGCCAATTTAAAATAATAGTGACATCTGTTAAGAGAAATACCAACATTTCACTACATGTAAATTTAAAATAAATAAAAACTTAATAATATATGTTTATTGTGGTAGGTACAAGATAATACACAACAATACTTAAAACGGTATAAGTATAAAATTCTCACTATATTCTTAAATTACATATTAAAATAATTATTTGACTGCAGATTCCAAAAACTTGGACATTATAGGATAAACTCTGTCATAATTCTCTGAATTTGTCTGCCTAATCAAACTCTCGTACCTTTGAATGGCCCCAGCGACCAAATCCAACCGATCCTCCTCTTTGACATGCTTATCCAACCACGCGGACAACTTGGGCAAAGACCAGCCCGTGTTCTGGTGCGGGCTTGCCAGATCGCTGCCGGCGAACGAGAACAACATCAGCAGCACTGTGCTGTGCGGCACCGAGCTGCCCAACATTTGACTAGCGACGATCTCTTCCGGTGTCAGGATGATCAGGGAGGCCATCGATTTTAGCAGGCGGTAGGGGCGGCCCAGGTCCGATAAATGCGGGCAGATTACTTTTAGGGAGTGCTCCAGTTGGTTGTAGTCGGCGTGCAGACGCAGTCTTCCTCCTTGCGAGATTGGTCTTAGGAGGGAGGAATGTCGTACCAGGAGTTCTATGCAACGAATCGCAACTTCACTACACCTTTAAAATAAGTGATGTCAGTTGGCTTTTTGGAAGTGATTAGCCAATGAGAGCACCGCATTCTTCATCGATAAAAGTCGCAACTTTAATTTATAAATTACTATACTATACAGTATGTCTCAGTATCTTGGAATCATATGGAAAACATTTTTATTATTAATTTTAGGAAAAAAAGTTATTCTTCATAAAAAGTTCTGCATGGTGTAAAACTTAAAATGCAACCCACAAATATTATTTTTTTTTAGTCGTATACGGGGTATGTCAAAAAATATGAATTTGGCTCAAGAGTAAAGTACCTTTATATTTGACAATATCGAAAATTGTTATAAAGAAAAGTTAATCAGAACTTAAAAGTACGTTCAAATATGCAATTACATCCATTTACATTAAAAAAAAAATATTTTTTCTTTTTTTTCTACAATATCAATGCAAATTTAACTGTAACATGTAATCTAGGATTCACTGATAAACAAATGATTTGTTGATATTCTAAAACTTTTTGGCCTGCTAGATCCCCTGACTTAACTTAAGGTTTTCATGTTTTTTCTAATCATAACAGATAAATGTTCATTTAAAATAGAAAGATTAGTAAAAATTAACAAAACCTAATTTTTTAATGTAAATGTATGAAATTGCATATTTAAACGTAGTTTTTAGTTCTGATTAACTTTTCTTTATAACAATTTTTGATATGGTCAAATATAAAGGTACTTTACTCTTGCGCCAAATTCATATTTTTTGACATACCTCGTATACGACTAAAAAAAATTAATATTTGTGGGTTGCATTTTAAGTTTTACACCATGCAGAACTTTTTATGAGGAATAACTTTTTTTCCTAAAATTAATAATAAAAAAGTTTTCCATATGATTCCAAGATACTGAGACATACTGTATATACCTATAGGTATACAATTTGGAGTACCACAAGGTTTTGTATGGCACGCCGTTTTACTTTTCGGATAATTGAATAAGAAATATTAAGTTAAATATTAAAATTTAAAAAATAAATTATACTGGAAAAATTTTCCAGTAAAATAATCCTTAAAAATAATATATTAATTAGAATTATACATGTCAAAGAAGATATTTTTTTTAATATGTTTATATAAGATGTTGAATTATTTATTTAATGTAATTTTTCTCTATGCAATATTTTTGTAACCCATTAATATTTAACTTAAAATTTCAGAATTAATTTTATGTCTACAGTGTAGACTCTACACATAAAATTAATTTGGCGCTGGGAAAGTGCGGCTGAAAATGGCAACTGAAGTAGTTCAAATGGTAGGTTTGTTTAATTTATCAACGTTGTCTACTTTAGCGCCGATAGGCGAGAGATCTGTTTGTGATTTTCATGGAACTGTTCTTAAGCCTGTCGGAGCTTATAAATCCTTAAAAATAAGATTTGTTTAATATAAAACATATATTATACTATGCACATGAACACTGCAGTTGCCACTTTCGGCCGCTCTTTCGCAGCGCCAAATTAATTTTATGTGTAGACCACAATCCACACAACCAGGTCTGTTCTATCTTGTACTTAAAATACTAAAAATCACTGCAACACTACAATTCATGTGCTTTGGGTTTGTGCTCTGTTTATACAGAATTATAATCGTTTGAAACGTTGTGTTTCTCACTCAGAGTAAGCCTTAAAATAGGCCTTAAAGTGCTAAGAACAACCATTTTACTGATCTTTTGTAAAAAATATACCTTATTCTTTCAGGCTGTCATCTAACTTTCAAATTTAAATTTTTGCAACGTTGTCCGTGTATTTTTGATAAATTGTTGTACTTACTTTTGCAATAGCACTTCTTTATTCTCAAAACTGGCCAAATAAGTATGGTATACCCTTGCAATAAACTGGTTCAATTCCTTCATGTAAGGACTGCAAGAAATCGAATTTTTATTTGCAGGAATTTGTAATTTAACCCAATCTGTTTCCAAATGTATTGTAACAATTATCTTTTCTATTATGGAATTTATAGAAACTAAAAATAAAATCAAAGTAAATATTTTTATAAAATAATAATGTATTAGTTTACCAACTAAAGGCTGTATTATGTTCCCAACCAAATTTTCCAAACTTTGAAGACTCTCCGTAATTATTTTTATTCCGGAATCAGGTATACTGGTTTTCATGTTTCCCAATATTCTTAGGATTTGTGTTTGTAAATAGTATAAAGCATTAGCGTATTGCACGTTTTTGTGCTGGCCAGCATTGGCTGTTCCACCTAAGAAATAAATAAATAAATAAAAATATCTATAAACTTTTTTTTTGTTTTTTTTTCCATTTTGTTTTTTTTTTCAAAAAATATAATATAAAATGTTGGCAAAAACTTGTAAACTGTTGACTAAAAAAAGTAATTTTTGTAGGAAATTTAGTTTTCCACAAATCACGTCATATTAAATTTCTAAAATTAAGATATGCAAAATGAAAGTTGTTAAAATTTAAAATTTTAGCAAAAGGTATTTAGGTGACAAAAAACAATTAAATAAATAAATCAGAATAATGTTTGATGACAAATATTAATTTTAAACTGTTTGCAGAAGACAAGTTTTCTACAAAAAATCACGTTAAACATTTTTGCCTACATTTTTCCGCTGTTTTTAATGGTAATTAAATAGGAAATTTGGGTGAAATTAACTTTTAAATGAATTATTCAGTGCATTGCAAAATGATTTAAATTTTTTTTAAATAATGTTTATACCTAACAAAATCACAAAAAATGATTGTCACCTTAACAGGAAACTTTAAAAAGTTATAATCTGTGGTTAAACTTAAATTAACTACGGTTTCGCGAAAGGATCGAACGGTAGATTTGCAAGGGTTCAAGAAATCGATTGAAACTTTTTTACCTTATTTCTACGTTTACGTTAAAAAAAACTCGTTCATTGACAACTTTGTTTTTTTTTCTTCACTGTGTTAAAAATGAAGAAATTTTATTTTTTTTAATAATTTTTTTATTTTAAAACTTATCGATTTGAAATTTGGACTAAATGTATATCTTACTAATGATAATTAATCCATGAAAAAAATTTGTTTAGATTTTAACGTACAGGGGGCGTTGGTGATAATTTAATTTAAAGTTATCAATTTTTAAACGGTAAATAATCGAAGAATCAACTTTGTTTTATAAATTTGAGTATAACAAGTTGATGTATTGACATTTGACTATTATTTTATATATTAACTTTTTTATGCAAATGATGTTTCTGTGGCAAGGATCAGTTTTGAATTAGCAGTAGCAGTATTCATAAATGTTTAGTTTAGTACATTTTGTAATTTTTATACAAATATTGTTGTATATTTTATTAATAATTAAGTATAGCATAACACATAAATGAAGTTTAATATACAGGGTGTTTCACGTACGTAGTCCGTTAGAAGTTTCTATGGACAAAATAATACTTTACCGGAAATATCTTTAACTTTGTTATTTTAAACAGGACACCTCATATTTACATTTTTGAATTCTACATAAAATTCTGAGTAAAATGGCTATACCATATCCTATACCTAAAGTCAATATTTTTTAATCAAATATTTTAATTAATTTTAAACAATGACAGATTAAGTGGTAATCATGGATACTGTCATCTTAAACCACATCTAGCATTTCACAGGTTTGTTGATACAAAATGGTATTGAAAATATTAGAAATTGTTAAATGTCTCTGAAATTTTAACTTTAGGAAACAGTTATAATACCAATCTAAAGATTCTTTAATTTTCTATTTGATTATGATAAAACATACAGGGTTTTATTTAGATTTATAAATTATTATTGCTCGAAGTTTGCCTAATTTCAAGTGGTTTTTCTCAAGCTATTTGTTGAAAAACCTTAAAAAATTAAATTATATAAACAATGTTTTAATATTCCAAAAACGCCAACCCCATGTCAGCAAACCTAATAACAAAAAAATTAGAGCCCATTTTTTATTAACGTGCATTTAGCAAAATTTTAACGAAAATAATTAATATCTTGTAAACTTTTGACTTTAGGTACCTAGTCTAAATCAAATTGTATACGCTATTAAAATTTCAAATCCATATCGTTTGCGTTTCTCCAGAAACACCCTGTATAGCATTATATTAAATATAAAAAATGCAAAATAACTAAGTACCTACAAAAAAGCTAAAAACAACTGAATAAAAAATATATTAATCTAAATAGCCAATCGCAACATAAAGTCTTTATTCTAATTTATTTATTGGGTAAATATTACTTTCCCCAGTTTGGAATTAAAATTTAAGCTTGCTGATTGAGTAAAAAATAAATTGAAGCTTGGTTGTGGAGTAGGTTGTCCTTGGCACTTTAAGGCCTCTTTTAATGCTTACAAGTGCCTCTGTAAGAAATTCAACGATTAAAACGAATATTAATCTGTATAAACAGCATAACCCTGAAGCACAATAATTGTAAACATAAAAATGGCCGCCAATAAAGTGTGTACAGTGGGTTGCCCATTTTTGTGATTTTTAGTATGCGCAAAACGAGAACTTGTGAGGATTGTGGTTAAAAGGTTAGCAGGTGACTGTGGGAGAACCTGTATAATTACCTATCACTTGAGCTGCCTCTGGGCCAGTTTCCAATTGTTGCTCAGTCTTGACAGCAAACATTTTAACACATTTAGCGACATTTTTAGAGACTTTTTCACTTAGGTGTTCTTCAACAAGAGCTACACTTAACTCGCTACAAATATTTGATTAAAAAATTGTTTAATTGCTTGAAAATTACAAATAACCTCGTTATTATTCTAATAAGTGAATCCATCTGGTCATGATTAGGAATGTTGAGTTCATTATTAAACATTGATTGGGCTGGATCCAACAATTTTGTAGAAGACATTGATAAATAAGAGTTTTCAAACTTTTCCAAAATATGATGCCTAAAAAAACTCACATCATTGCAAATAAAATAAAACAAAACAATCTTACTTAAATTTAAAGACATCGTAATTAAGCTTCAAAATCATCTCATAATACCACTTTAGTAGTTTGGGATAATCCCCTTCCAGAGTCTGTTGTATGGCAGTAGAAGACTTCTTAATTTCCTCCTGCATTATTTTGCCAAATTTACTCCAGAATTCATCCGCAACATTTAAATTGACCCCGCTCATACTGTTCAAAGTTATTTGTAAAAATTTCACTTGCTTGCAAACTTGATAAACATCCTCGGAAAACGCTTTTTCCAATTCATTCAAAACTCTACTCCTAAAACCTTGCGATGAAGTTAAAGAAACTTTACCCGGAGCTGCCTTGGATTTTATAGAAGCATTTGGGCTTATTTCAAAAGCTTTTTTAAGGCATTCTCTGAATTCATTTAGGCATTGGTCAATAAAATTGTCTGATATTGTTTTGATTGTCCCCAAATTAATAAATATCTAAAAAATACAACAACAACAACAGTAAAGATTTTTGATTTTATTTAAATATTATAATTACTTGTAGTGCTGTTGTAGTTTGTGTAACATTCTCATTCATGATTCCTTGATTTAAAGACCCTGTTGCCAATTTTGCAACTTTTTGTTGTTGCATTCTTATATTTCTTAGTTCTGTTGTAACTACATCTATATCATGCAAATCAGGGTCAATGGCTAGTTGCTCTAAAACGGTTTTTTAAACAAGCTACACAATATTTCATATTAAAATATTCCTTACCAAGTTCCCTTAAAATTGTAGCTTTTTGCACTGGATCATTAGTATTTGACAATCTCTTACTAAGCTGCTGAATCCTATTAACTTGTCTTAGAATATGACTGGCCAAATGCAATCTACCCAATACTTTTGTATGTTGTTCCAAAGCATTATAAGGCACATGAATCTAAAAACCAAACTAAACACCTTAAATCACATAATATTTAAATTCTTACTTGATTTCTCAACCTCTCGGCATTGGCAAATAAATTTTGAACATGCATATTCATGGTATTTAAAACTGCCTCCAATTTTGTTGAATGCTTGGCTTGTGTAAGTAAATCCTCATGTTTATCCACAACTTGTTTATGTAATTCGCGACTTAGAAGTTCTATACCTTCTCCCAGTTTCGTAACTTGCTCAGTTATCGTTAAAGTTTGTGCTAGGGGTTTTTTTGAGTTGTTTGCTTTCAGGAAATATTTATAAAAATCTGAAATTAATTCGTTGACAGGGTGATTTTATGTGTTTTCAAACTATTTACCATCTTCCTCTATTTTGTGTATAACACTTGTGTCTTTATTTTCCATTTTTATTAGAATTTAAGATTTACATGTCAGGAAAACGTCACTTTTAAAACGTCAACAGTAGTTTACATGTACGATACTTTGCAATGAGCTTTGTTTGTACATTTGAACTATTGACATATGGCATGATTTATATAGATTATGTATTCAAGGTTAAAAATATTTTTTATTTTATTTAAATTCCACAAAATTGTTAACGATTTATTAAATTCCAACAACAAAAAAACAACTATTTTTATCTTTTCTAAAATATTTTGTAATTATTATGAATTTAATTTTTTATTGACTGCAACCTAACAAACGCCCTATACAATTTAAATAAATAAAAAAGTAGTCCAAAAGCATTATATAACCTAAAAAATATGTGAATATCTTTAAAATGTTTAAAAACGTACTGGATAGTGGGTTGTCCAGAATTTTAACTATAAAAACAGCAAAATGCACTGCACACTCCTTTAAAACAGTGGAGACAGTGAATAATAAACCCATAAAACCAAGATTAGTATTAGCCGCAAAAAAATTGGAGACATTATTGGATATTAGAAGACTTCATGCCCTTGATATAGTAAGCAATAACAAGAAATTAGCGTCAATGGATCCCGTAAAGTTAGAAAAGAATTACAATGCTATTATCAGGGAAAATATCTCAAACAAGGACATACTTAAAAACCCAGAAATTTTATCTGAATCCAAGTTAACATTAACACATAAATTAAATTTACTGAGGCAGTTACCTTATGAAGTTGGTGTTACTTTGCCATTGCTTAGCATAAGTGTTAATGAGTTGGTGTTTTTAATCAATGATGATATAACAAATAGTAGGATCAAAGTAATTGGCGATCTTCTGGATTGTTCAGACTATGAGACATGTAAATTGATTGCAAAAAGAAAATTTTTGGCATCCTTAAATCTTGAACAAATAAAAAATAACATTGATGCGTTATTGGGGTATAGAATTGATACAGACCACATAAAAAAGGATCTTTGGGTTTTAAAATATAATATTGAAACAATTAGAAATCGTTTGGAATTGGCAAAGTTGCATAAAATTGATACTATTAAGACTTGGATGGTCAGATCTAAACTTTCTATATTTGATGCGTAAGTGCATAATAAAGTGTTACAATTTATTTATTATTTTTATTATTGTTTTAGGTATATTAAAAGAAGAGTTGATAATAAGTCAGTACTGGGTGAATTTTCTCTGGCTCAGTACTTATCAAAAAGATTAAATTGTACTGAACCAATGGCTCAATATTTAATTCAAAAACATCCAGCTCTGGAGAGTAAAAGTCTGATAAAAATGGAAGAAATAATAAACTTCTTGTACAACCAAGGTTTTAAACCAAAACACATAAGAAACTGTCCCAAAATTCTTCTACACAGTGTCGAAACAACAAAAAATCGCCTTAAACAATTAGAAGCACAAGGAATGTTTCTTGAATCTTTATCAGTCCTCACAAAAAGTCAAAAACAATATTTAACTTTTTATGATGGCCTTGTTAAGCAAAATAAAATGAAGAGTTAACAATATAAATAATTTTTATTTACACCTACGTTATTACATGGGGACATTTTTTGATTGTACTTTACTTGACTGAGAGTTAAAATAAATAAATAACACTACAGCTGATAGACGAGCTTGTAAATCTTGCTGACTTAAGTCGTGAGCCCATTCTACCCTTCCCCAGTGACTAGTTTGGTATTCTTCCTCTAACCTGGACAGCAAAACTGCTTTTTCAGGGGTTATAAATCTTTCAGTACATGCCAAAGTTAGTACTACTGATTTTAATGTATCTACACCATAAACAAATCCTAAAAAATAGTTTAATAATATAATAACTTGTTTTGGTTTTTGAGCTCCTATTTTTGTTTTTCTTTAATTTCAGATAATCTTTTGTGAAACCTTTTATTTGTTTCTTACCATTTATTGCTGCAAAATTATAGGACATTAAATGTTTGCTTAGTTTTGCCTTATCTTGCTCTGAAACAGGAGGAATGTCCATCTGTGTAGATTTTTTTAAATTCACATCAAATTTATTATTAAACCATTCTATAACAGGATCCCACTCAGTTTCCTGTACCTTAAGTAATTCTGCATCCTCCTAAAAGACATTTTTACAAACAATATTTATTTATATTTCATAAATTAAACATACATTTGCTTGAAATAAAACTGTATCTGTATCCAAATAGTTTGTAATGTAATCTACTACATCATACTTTGTTAAATTATTGGGATTATCTAATACTGTATTACACAATGTAGTCTAAAACAATACTGTATTATTACTTTATTAAATATCCTTACGGGTAACATACAATATGCATTTTGCTTTGAAGGATTTTGTCTTTCTGTGAGTTCCATTCTGTTGCTACAGCTAGGGCTAAAGGTTCACTTTCTACTTTAAATAAATTTCCTTTAGGGGTTTTAAGTTTTCTTTGATCCAAAGATATTTCATAGTTGCCTTCACTTTTAAGTATGCTTGTGCTTTTATAGAACCTTTTTCGAACAGCTAAAATACATTTTTATTTGCATGTTATGTGAAATTTTTAAGTATTGGGCTTACCATAGGTTCTTGTAAATGGGTTTGGATTATTTTTGGGTAATTTATTCAATAAAAAGAAAGTTTTCAAAAAAATATTGGACATTTTAAATTTTTTACATAACCACACTTATGTATACATAACCTCGACTTGTCATGTGATGGCGGTAAATTTGAAAATCACCGGTTTTCCAGATTTAATTCATTTTTTCTAAATGTAGATTAATAAATAGATATACACAATCCATATATATATATATATATATATATATATATATATATTATGTTGTTTACAATTATTGTGATTTGGGTTTGTGCTGTTTATACAGATTTTTAAAATCGTTTTAAACGTTGTGTTTCTTACAGAGGCACTTATACCTAAGCCTTAAATGAGGCCTTAAAGTGCCAAGAACAACCATTTTACTCCTCTTTTGTAAAAAATAAACCCTATTAATATAGAATAGAATTCTATCAGGGCTGTCATCAAAATGTAAAATTTAATTTCTGGGTTATGTTAAATTTGATAATTTGATGACAGCCGTGATCAGTGTTACCAGATTCTGTCAAAAAAGGACCGTACGTTTCGTTCGAATTTACCTTAATTACAAAATGACACAATGAAACAATTCAAATAAATGCAATTATGTCAAGTTGAAGTTATTTAATATTGTCCATTGAGTCATTTTTGTAATTAAGGTAAATTCGAACGAAACGTACGGTCTTTTTTGACAGAATCTGGTAACACTGGCCGTGATAGAATAAAGCTGGTTTGAGCACAATTCCGCGCGGTTCGATTCCCGACACATAACTTTTTTTTAATATTACTATTATTTTTGGGTAATTTATTCAATACAAATTTTAGACATTTTTCTGGCATAGGTACAAATATTTAAAAAAAAAATTTTAATATATTTTTTTAATTTTTTTTCATCCTCAAAAATATTTTCAACTTGATTCAAATATTTTTTGACAGTGTCAATGTCATTCTTAATTAATTAAATATACCTACAGGGTGTCAGATTTTAATCGGGAAAATTTAGTAGTCGATAGAACTCGCAAAAATAAGAGTTTGTTTTCAAGATAAAAAAATAATTATTTTTTTAAAAATTTCAAAAACTTCTTGGTCGAATTTAATAAAAATTTTGAAGTTTTTAGTAATGGGCGAATGTAACTAAATTTAATTTAGTTAATCTAGAGGGGCTATATATTTAAAAATTAAATATGGGTAATCTACGGATTTTTATAACTTTAATATTATTTTAGATAGAGCAATTAAAAATAGATCATTTTTGTCTTATGCATTTTTTCTTTCTTGTTTAACTTTAAGAAAAAAATAAAATTCCTTTTTTTGTTCGCCCCAGAAAATTATGGTCACAAGCGGATAAACGAATTTAACTTTTGTCTTAAGATTAAGATGGATAAAAATGCAAGGGACGAAAAAGATTGAATTGCTTAATGTAAATATAATTTCAATTATCCAGAAAAAAGTTAAAAAATGGTTTTTTCAGAATTTTTTTCAAACCATAAATGAGGACGGCGGAAATAAAACAAAGTTTTGCGGAAAAAATAAATTAAAATCCTTTATTAATTTTCGAAATACTAGAGAGTACAGCAATAATAATTATGAAAATTATAATTATTAATTAAATATTGTTAATGTTTACAATATCAAGTAAAAGATCAACAATAAGAAGAAAACAGCCAAAAGGAGATTTATAAAAACTTAATCTAAATTGCCTATGAAGTAAAAATACGTTAAAATAATAATTATAAGTTTTTATAATTAACATCTAATACAGTTAATTGGCTCTCAATCTAGACGAGCGCAAAACGAGTTTGTTAAAATGCTATCGGTCCTTTAATAAATTAATCAGATACCGCACGTCCGCTTGGAAGCTACTGCTGCCATCAATAGCCTCCTCGAGCGAAATCTGAAGCGGTTCCACGTCGGCCGGTCCGTTATTTTGATTAAGCAGTTTGTCGAACAAATTCTTCCACAGCTCCTTGTTATGGTACCGCTGCCAGCGACAGTTGACGGACCACTCGCTGCCGATCTTCTGCAAGCAGATGTACTTCTCGAAGATCAGGACGTGCGCAGACGCGGCCACGCAGAACAGGTCCGTGTGGTAGTTCCAAGGCCGGCCGTCGCGCATCTCGCAGCAAATAAAAGCGTCCGTGGTGATTCTGTGGGTGAAGCTGGCGTGCGGCGGGAACAGCGACATGTCGATGCTGCACCCGAAGTCTATCAGCTGCAAGTCTACGGTGCCGTCGGCTTTCAGCATCACCAGGAAGTTGTCGGGTTTAATGTCGGCGTGGATGATTTGGATCTCGTGCAAGGTTTTAACTAGGCGAAGCATTTTGTTCGTGAAGTGGTAGCAGAGGCATTCTTTCAAGGATTTTCCGGTTTTTTGTTTCACCAAGTTGGTCATATCCAATAGGGATCCCCACGGCATGTATTCCGATATCAAAATAGAATACTGATTGTCTGTAAGAAATGTTGATGAGTTTGTTAAAAAAAAATCACAATATACAGTTAATTTTCTTTTATTTGGACTTTTTTAATAAGTGATTCAGCGGGAGCGTCTTTTAATTCCAACTGCTAAAGAGATATCAAGTCACTTAAGTGATAAAGAATTCTTTACTGTATTGGATAAGGAAGATGGATATTTTTAGGTCTGTCTTGAGGAAAAATCCTCTGATTTTTGCTCGTTTGCAAAGCCTTTTGGTATTTTTAAATTTTGTAGATTGCCATTTGGGATAAATAAGGCGCCTGAAGTGTTTGAGAAAATGAATTATGAGATTTTTGGCAATATTCCTGGAGTTGGGATTTATTTTGATGATATACTGGTTACAGGGGCTACTGAGCGGGAACATGATAATAATCTGAGGAAAGGATTTTTGGCCTGTATTATGCAGTTTAAACAAGAGTGAAGTCAAATTTGCTCAAATAAAAAAGGAACTTCTTGCAATTTTATTTAGTTGTCAAAAGTTTCATTTTTTGATTTATAGTGTTAAAAATATTAAAGTTCACACAGATCATAAACCGCTAGAAGCGATTTATAAAAAAGATATTTAATCGGATACTCCGCGTATACAGCGCATGTTATTAAGATTATTAAATTATGACATTAATGTTTTCAATAAACCTGGAAAGTTTATGTACATTTCGGATACTCTAAGTAGAACATTTTTATCAGATTTATCAACAGAAATTGACACAGAATTAGAGTACACTGTACATTCATTAAGTACATATTTACCGATTTCGATTGATAAAAAAAATGATTTAAGACTGGCTACAAAAAATGATTTTCAGTTACAAAAAATTATTCACTTCGCAAATTCTAAATGGCCAGATAAAAATAAATTACCCAATTTTGCACTACAATATTATAAGATTAGAGATGACTTATTATACGTTGATGATTTGCTATTTTTTTATTAGTTGTTCCTGTTAGTATGCGTCAGATTATGTTACAAAAATTACTTAAAGGACATATAGAAAAGTCTATATAGGGCCAGAAAAGTTTTTTATTGGCCAAATATGAATCAAAATATTGAATATTTTTTAAAGCAGTTTAAAATTTGTGAAAAATTTTCAAACAAAAATACTGCTGGGAAAGATTAGGAGCAGATATTTTCTCATATACAAATGTGTCGTATCTTGTTTTGATGGATGCGTACTCTAATTGGTTGGAGGTAGCGACGTTGCGTAATAAATCTGCTCCTGAGGTAGTTTTAAATTTGAAGTCAATTTTTTCAAAGTTTGGCTCACCAGATTATTTGATTTGCGATAATGTACCATTTAATAGCTTAGTTTGAAAGGATTTTGCAAAGGAGTGAAATTTTGTTATTATCACAAGGAGTCCAAATTATCCGTGTTCAAATGGGTTGGCTGAAAAAGTCGTTGGCATTGCTAAAAAAATATTGAAAAAATCGTTAGTCTAATAGAGGAAGGTAGTGATATATATCAGGCCTTGCTGCAGTACCGAAATTCCTCTCTTAAACCTTTGAATTACTCAAAACAAAGTTGCCAATCTCAGCCGAAGTTTTGCAACCGCCACTTTGTAATACTGTTATTGAAAAATTAGAGTTTAGGCAGAATGTAAATAAAAAATACTATGATTGTAGAACAAAGGATCTAAGTGTATTAAAACCAAATCAAAATGTAAATATTTTTAACCACATAGACAAGAATTGGGTTCCTGCTAAAATTATATGTCAGGATAATACACCTAGATCATATAAAATAGATAGATAGATACTTTATTTCATCAAAAGGGTTTACATGAAGTGTCACAAATACTAACATAGAGGTAAATATAAAATTGACATACAAACAATACAATAAAATTTAAAATAAAAGAATAAATAATATACATTTGATTAAAATTTAAGGTCTAAAAAATCTTGAATTGAGTAAAAGAAATAGATTTCAGGACTTAGGTACATAGATGGTTGAAGATTTTTATCCCCCAGTAGTCAACGCCCTGCTGTGTTCTTTTTTTGTATATGTAGTTTATTTCTGTTTCTTGTATTTAGGTTATTTTGTGTAAATCTTTGAATATTATTAATAACATATTTTATAGATTCAAAGATATACAGTGAAGGTAGTGTAAGTATTTGTTCTTTTTTAAAATATTCTCTACAGCTTTTGATTTGTCTTAAGCTACACATATCCCTTATAGCTCGTTTTTGTAATATGAACAACTTAGCAGAAGCAGGTTTTAAAAAGGGGAGATGTATTCTGCCCTACTATGGAGAAAGGCAGTAACTGCAAAAAAATGCAAAATGCGTTTTCTTGTGCTATGGTAACGCTTTTGGTTTTACAAATATTAAATCACACATTATTTTCAGCTAAGCAGATCTAAAATTTTAAAAAATAAGGGGAAAATAAAAAAACAAAAAAAAATTATTTGCTGTTAGGTTCAACCTTTTTGTGAAAAATCTAGTAGTTAATTTTCCTGTCTTTGAAAATAGCATCCCATTTGGTTTGAAAAAGATAAGCAATAATCACAAAACTTTTTCTTCTTTCAATTTGCAAGTTACTAATCATTAATAGTCCTGGACAATATATATATACATAAAAATTATTATTAAGCCATTCACCATTGGAGCCCAATGCTTGGACAACATTCACGTGTGTTTACATAAAATTTTAATTTCTTTTATATAAATTCTTTTCATAGCGAAGATTATTATCCGCTAGGAATACTTTGTCTCTCCTGGGCCGTAGTCACCTATATTTAACTACTTTTTTATATGATTTTACTAGGGATAGAACGATATCACTTTTTTTGCCGATACGAAATATCGGCCGATACCGATATTTACGTGCCGATATACCGATATATCGTATCGCCAAACATAATGCCATCTATTTATACACGACCGAAGCAAAAATCGGGGAAGTCCCGTTTTAATTCCGTTGCGAGGAAACGTTTGTGATTGGTAGTGAGTGACATTTCGGATTTCTGGGAAGCCCATTATACAGTGTGTATGAAAACGAATAGATACACTTAAATAAAACAAGTGCCAAACCCCGCCCACTGTGGTAGGGATTGAGAATTTATAGGTTTTATTTTTATCGAATTCGTTTCTTTTGTTTTAATGCATTTCTGCAAATAAAAACTAAGTATTGTTTAAAATCCATTAAATTCCAGTTAATGTCGAAAATGTATTTCTTAAAAACTATACACATTTCCCTACGACAGTATTTCATTTATGCACTGAAGAGTGAAAAGCGCAATTTTTTTTTGCCGATATATCGGCAATTATCTTGCCGATACGATACGATACCGATAATCGGAAACAATTGCCGATATGCCGATATACCGATATCAATATCGGTATTGTTCTATCCCTAGATTTTACTCATCTACGCATTACCAAAGCCAAATTAATTTAATTTTTAACTACGAATTTTGACAACTCAACTTGACTCAACTTGACAACCGTTCAATGTAATCTTTATAATCTGTGAATGTAACCTACAATAATTTAAACAATTACTTTATAATTACAATAATAATAATAATAATAATAATTACATTTATAACTATAGTTTATATAATTTAGTTTGTTTTAATCAATGCAGTTTTGGTTCCGTATTTACCAACCAAAACCCTAAATTTGCAACGTTGCCGCAGTCCAGATAAAAAAAAATTAAATTTATGTACTTACTGAAATATCCCAAAGACACGTCCATAAAGTGCGATCTAATATCATCGTTGGTTAATCTTGCTTGTATTTCTCTACAAATATGGTATTCCCATTTGTTGGGTACCTTTTGGTATTTTAAAGCTACATTCTGGCGTCTTCTATTATCAAACGCCTTATAAACAGTACCATATGTTCCTTTGCCTAACTGTTTTTCAATAATATACTCGTCATTTCCTAAAAAAAAATCCAATTTTTTTTTCTGAGGTCAAAATTTTGACATTGACACCTTTTTTTATTCATTGTTTCGTTTGAAGTTAATAATATGAACAAGTCTAGAGTTGGCTACATTCGTCGTTTTGGAATTATTATTTTTTTAATGAAAATGCCATTTTCCTGTAAATTCGTGGTTTATCGCAAAAATTTGGTATTTTATCTAGGGTCATGGGGTGACCTTTATGAAGTATAATTTAGAACTTTTTGACATATTTGTTTCACCGGAAATGCATTTTTACATATTTTGATTTCAAATAAAATTCTGAATGCATACATATCGTGGGTTGAATATTATATTGTTCTATCAGCAATTTTGGCGGAAAATGAAATTTTTACATGAAAAAGAAGGTTTAACAAATATCTATCTATCTAAATAAGTATCACTGTTAAATATAGCCCAGAAATACTAAAAACGACATTATTATTTTGTTCTATTTGCGAAATTCAAATATAATTAACTATTATAATGTTCTAACAAACCAATCAATTAAATTGCAAGTTTTCGAGTTGTCACTGACAGCCTGTCAGAATAACATATATATATATGATAACATATCTGTCATCGGCAGTTTAAGGAATTACGTCGTAGGTTTTTGCACAATCCACACAACAAGGTCTGTTCTATCTCGTACTAAAAATACAAAAATCACTGCAACACTACACAGTTTAACGGCGGCCATTTTCGTTGTTTACAATTTTTGTGCTTTGGGTTTGTGCTCTGTTTATACAGATTAGTAATCGTTTTAAACGTTGTGTTTCTCATAGTAAGCCTTAAAAGAGTCCTTAAAGTGCTAAGAACAACCATTTTACTCATCTATTGTAAAAAATAAACTTTATTCTATCAGGGCTGTCATAAAACTGTCAAATGTCAATTTTAAGGTTAAATTATAACCCACAAATTAACCTTCAAATTGTCATTTGACAGCCCTGATAAAATAAGGTATATTTATTATAAAAGAGGAGTAAAATGGTTGTCCTTAGCACTTAAAGGCCTTATTTGAGGCTTACAAGTGCCTCTGTAAGACACAACGTTTAAAACAATTATTAAACAGCACAAACCCAAAGCACAAGAATTTTAAACAACAAAAATGGTCACCGTTAAACTCTGTGCAGTGTTGCAGTGATTTTTAGAATTTTTAGCATGAGATAGAACAGACCTTGTTGTGTGGATTGAGGGTTTTTGGTGGTTTAAGTGATTATTTTATTAAAAAATAAATGATAGTGAGATTCCGTAAGTACAAAAATACAATATTATTATAAAATAGTTATAAAATATCCAAATAAAACTTAATTTATACGTAAAGTGATTTGTGCCCTAAACTCAAACGTAGCTACTAACAGAACATTATTAGCTTATTTCTACGAATTTGTTTGCTTTAGAACTTTTTCCCAAACTATATTTTTTAGTTGCTGTTCAACAAGTTTAGACGTATTCGAAAATAATCATTTTGTGGATCAAATTGAATACTTTGAAGATAGTGATATTCCTGTGCAGATCCAGATTATGTGGCTTTAGATTTAAATGAAGCAGCTTTGAAATCACATGCAAAATGTGGTAATATAGGTAAATCCTAGTCTACTTTTTTATAATTTTGTATTGGATTTTGTTTTGTTTTTAGACCTGAGGATGGCGATGTATTTTTGCCAATGTTGATATTCGCAATGCACCTGAACTAAAAAAATGTCTCCTGTCTTTTGCAAAAGTTGCTGATCTAACCAAATTATTTAAGTTTATGCCGCCTGTTGATGTAATTTTTAAAAAACTTGTTTTAAACAACTTAATAATGCTGCTGTATTTGCAAATGAGAAAAAAAAAGACAATAATTAGTTGTTGAGTTATCATAAATAATTAGTATTACTTAAGCCTTGTTTTTTTTGTAAGAGTAATTTTCCACCCTATACTGTTAGAACATTTTGGAACCTTTTGTAAAATTTTGAAAAATAATAAAACAAAAATGTTCTATTAGCAATTCTTTGATTATTATTATTATTATTATTAACATTTTTAGTCAACCAAAATACTAAAATTAAGAGCACTAAGCACTATGCACTAGCTTACTCGCGTTAAGTACAAAATATCTTTACAAACTTCAATAATATTAATATTCAAAATTTAAAAACTTGATTTTCAAAAAATTAGTTTTATTCTATTAGAACAATATAATATTCAACCCACGATATGTCATTTGTTGCTTTTTGATAGGTCAAATAATTTTTTGATTAAATTTTATTTTTATATCTAGAGTGTCATGAATTGGCTTTTCTACTTTATGTTGGGACAATGCTGGTTTTTAGGAGCTTTCAAAAATTGAAAAACCATACTGCCAAAACATTTTTTTTTTAATAAAAGTGTGTACAGAAGTAAATAAATTAAAAAGGATTTGAAACCTTTTTGTATAAATAAGTATTAGATTTGACATTTTATTAGTTTGTTTTGCTGGTAAGTGATTATTTACATTTTATTTTACCATAAAAACATCCCAGGTAGCACAACGTGACATTAAAAATTAGAAGTGACGAAAACGAGACAATATTTCGTTACGATTAAGGAAATTTTAATAAAAAGTAAATAAATTGCGTGACGCCAAATTCGTGACGAGGGGTCTATGAAAATACGTGACGAATTTTTTCATAAAGTCGTTAGTCACACGAAATAGTGATAATTTTACTTTAAATTTTGGTATAAAATTCTTGACGTGCAGCTCGTTACAAAAACGTTACAAAATATTTATACAAATCGTCACGAAAACATCACGTAAAGTCGTGACACCAATGCGCAGTCGCCAATAGTCATATGTTCTGTGCATCTCCATCATCATCAGAGATAAAGTAGGATCTCCATTTTGAATGTTTGGTAACGACCCAAGCCATTGGTTTCTGTAGGTTTTTCTATATTTCTGCAAAGTTTTTAATGGTAAACAAAAGGATAGTTTAAAACCGTAAGTACTTTTGCTTTTCTATATTTCAGTAGCTTAAGACAATTGTCTGCAATGCTAAACAACTCCACACTCTAATCTAAGAAATGTTTTGCTGTAGCAACAAAATATAAGTAACCACAACATTTTTAGTGTGTTAATACCTATATTCTTAACAAATTTATTATTATAGCTTAAGTATTTTAAGTTGAATTTCTACTGAAAGAGGAAAAAATACATTTTTTTGTACGTGAAATAAATTTTAACAAAGCCATGGAGAAAACTGCTTATTTCTTATGATCATTTTTCAGGTCAATTAAAATTAAAAAATTGGTAACCAACATAACATAGACTGTTTTACAGTCGACACTCTGGACACACTCCACACAACTGGATATATCCTATAGGGACGAACGAAAACTTTAGACTAAAAGACATATTGATGGCAAACACAATTGTCTTGGGTTGTCTCGGGGGAAAGAAATATTACAAAGGATGACGTTGAAAAGCACATTATGTATGCCTTCCAGCATACATATGATAAGATGAAATCACAGGTTTGTACTTCAGCTGAACCCTAGTATTATTTAAGTAAGTTTATTATAAATAAATGTTTATTATAAATAAATGTTGCAGTTAAACTGCAGAAATAAAATAAAAATTTTATACTAGATGAATTATTAATTGACTTCATTCATTTCATTTTTTAATTTATAAGAGAAATAGAGTATACTTGTTTATTTTGTTATACTGTTTTTTATATTAGGTATATTCTAATAAAATAGTGTTTTATTCTACAGGAGAATTATATTTTTGTGTACTGTTTTATCCTTAAAATAGAAAAATAATTTAATTTTTTTTTTCAAAAGATATGAAATTTGAAAACTAATTGCAATTATTGCTGGTTTTCAAAAGTGGAGGTATTTTTATTTTATAAGAGGAATATTTTTTTATTTTGTTAGTGTTTTTCTATATATATATACATATAATATATATTATTATAGTTTATTAATAAATACAATTGTAGAATATGTTTTTATGGTTTTTCTAATAAAATATAATTCAGTTAAATGTGCTTTCTTTGCATTAACATTGCAAAACTAAACAATCCTAACAACAATATGTTATTATTTGGGGATGTAATAATATTGTGTAGTGTAATGCAGTGCAGTACGGTATAGTGGGTTGTTTTGTGTATTGTGGAATTATTGCTTACCTTCAAAGTTTTGTAATTTGATTTCAACCTGATGATGAGGTTGAAATCAAATTACAAAACTTTGAAGGTAAGCAATAATTCCACAATACACAAAACAACCCACTATACCGTACTGCACTGCATTACACTGCACAATATTATTACACCCCCAAATAATGCAACTATACGCCACAATTACGTGACCAGTTCAGTTCACTATTCGGTAACGAAGCGTCGTGACGAAACCGTGACAAATCATCGTGAAGAATCCGTGGCGTATTCTTAGCTACATCGTGAAGATTTTTATTCATATTAATGTAACGTGTCCGTCACAAAAACTATGCTTAAATTTAGCGCGGTTTGGCAACTGTTTTTAATTAAATACGTTACGATTTTTAAATAACGTCCAAGTCACGACTGACTGAAAACGTTTCGTTTACGTCAAGATTTCGTTACGTTGTGCTACCTGGGATACGCTAAAACTTTTTATAAAATAAAATAATAATAATAATTGAGGTGGTTAAAATCAAAGGGGTGTAAGTAATTGCACATTTTTTGGTTTTAAAACTAATAAATAAAATCATTCAAATATTTTGAAATTATTATAAAAAGTTATATCTAACCGCCCCATAGTGTGGCCATTGTAGGGAATCTCTGGCTATAAATAAAAAAACGAAATATGAAATCAAATAAAAATTTGTTATTTCTAAACATAATTAACCTGCGCATTTGTTTCTGGACCTCTTAGGCTTAATAGTTATTTCCCTTCCTGATAGAGCCTTAGTCAAAAAGAGTTTCGCGACTGCCTCACTCATATCTGGTAACCGACCAAAATTTTTCGGAATTGTTTGTGTTCTACATTTCGATTTATTACTTTTAGGTATATAATACTTACTTTTTATTATTTTAACCAAAATTACCTTACCGTAAACACGGGTGGCTTTGGCTCACTTTCAAACTTCAGCTTAAAATTTTTGTGGTTTTAACAATCATAAACATTAAATTTTGTATACCAAAATTTGAGTCTTGAGTTGCTCTTTCATAATAACTATGTTATAATATTACATAGGGCTGAGTTTCAAAAATAAACATTAAAAACTGGGTGTGCAAAGTTACCCCCTGGTTGCGGGTTACTTTGTACAGTGTTTTTTCAGTATAAAATGAATGTAATATTATATTTTATTTTTATTAGACACGTGTTAGCAGCGACATATATCTATTGCAAGGGATTACCAATAAAAAAAATTAAAAATCGACATGTAGTTAACCAAGGATCATCATTCCAATGGATTCCGCATAATATAGAAATTGTAACGCGTGTATTTTTTTTTTTTTTTTTTTTATTGAAAAGTTATATCCAAATAGCCGAAATGGGCTTTGACAGATATGTAATTTACAAATAAATTTAAAATTAACATTTAGCAACAAATAATTAGTTTATACATGGGTTTTCTTGTCTTTGGTCCACTAAATATTGCTTGACACTCTTAACAAACTCTGTTTCATTTTGCTGTTTGATCTCGTTTGGTAATTTGTTGTATATTTTGATGCCTTCTGTAAGTATTCGTTTTTCGCCTATTTTGGTTTTATGTGTGACAAAATTTAGTTCTTGATTACCTCTGGTGCTGTATTGATGTACGTTGGCTCTTGTTGTTATTTCTATATCTTCATCTTGGATTTGTTTGTTTAAAATTTTCCTTACCAATTTTATGGTCTCCAGCTTTCTAAGTTCTTCTATTGTTAAGGTTTTTGTTTTACGGTATACTTCAGTTGTTGCAGTATGCCTTGGTAGTCTGTGCAAAGCTTTTAATAGTTTATTTTGGCTTCTTTGCAATTTGTCTAAATCTTTTTTGTTTCCTGTTGCCCAGAATGATATTAGGTAAGTCAGCTTGCTTTTAATATAGGCTTCATATATCAGTTTCCTTTCCTTTTCCTGCAGTACATCAGCTACCTTATGCGCTAGTCCATTATAATATGCCATTTTTTTGTTTCTAAGAGTTTTGCACTGATACGATATATACAATTTTAAAGTGTAATCAATCCCATTTCTTTCTTTAAAACACTGATTTTCCTGTAATATAAACTCAATAGAATCGCTCAATTGACAGGTTGAGACCAACAAATTATAAATGTTAATTTTATCGAGCGCGAAAAGATTTTTCATAAATGGGTTAAAGTCAACCGCGGGGTGCAAAGTCACCCGTATTTACGGTACATATACTTTTAACACATGCAAAAATAATAAGAATTTACATTTTACTCTAAAATAAATAATAAATTAATTTACTTACTTAATAGACCAGTGCAAGAAGCCTTTAAAAATGGTAAAAAGAGAAAAAAAATAACACTAGGATAAAACCCATTGGAAAAGGAGGGGAATATAATAAAAATTAAAGGAAAAATAAATTACGGGCGATCTGAGTTCGGGAAGTGGGAGGGGGGGTTTTAAGGGTAAAAAATGGTTTATCTCGATTTCCGGCAAAACAAGTCCTATGGAAAAAAATTAAATGTCAAAGTTGTAGGTAATAAAAAGATCTACAACTTTTGTATTTACAATTTTTTCACAGAACCTCAAAATTTATGTGAAAAATTCAAAAAACCAAGTTTTTGGATTTTTATTTTTATCTTTTTCAAAAAAAATAATTTTTCCACGAAATTTGGTGAAAACTTACCTTTTTATGTCCAAAATACATTGTAATTTATTTGATTTGAAATATTTATTATTTCGCCTTATTTTGACTTAATATCAAAAAAGCACCCTAATTTTCAATCGAAAATTCTCGCGTCAAAATATCAGCTTTTTTCAAAAAGTCGGTGTGCTTTTTGTTCGATGAACTCTCTACTTTCTGATGGTGTATAAAAAATATACATTACTATGGTAAATGTTCTCAGAAAATACAAAAAATATTATAATGAATAACGTAATCAGAATGAAGTATCTAAATTCAATAGTATGATTTACATGTATTTTTATATTTTATGAGATTTTCTGACATAAATGTTATTAGAATTTAATAAATAAACTTTTTAACTAAAAAAAATTGCAACAATCACATTTTTTTGATGAAATTGTAAATAAATTTTCGAATTCGAGTTTTTTTCGTTATTCATTATAATATTTTTTGCATTTTCTGAGAACATTTACCATAGTAATGTATATTTTTTTTACACCATCAGAAAGTAGAGATTTCAACGAACAAAAAGCACACCGACTTTATGAAAAAAGCTGATATTTTGACGCGAGAATTTTCGATTGAAAATTAGGGTGCTTTTTTGATATTAAGTCAAAATAAGGCGAAATAATAAATATTTCAAATACAATAAATTACAGTGTATTTGGGACATAAAAAGGTAAGTTTTCACCAAATTTCGTTTTTTTAAAGATAAAAATAAAAAACCAAAAACTTGGTTTTTTTAATTTTTCACATAAATTTTGAGGTTATGTAAAAAAATTGTAATTACAAAAGTTGTAGATCCTTTATTACCTACAACTTTGCCATTAAACTTTTTTCCAAAGGACTTGTAGTTTTGCCGGAAATCGAGATAAACCATTTTTTACCCTTAAAACCCCCCCTCCCACTTCCCGAAGTCAGATCGCCCGTAATTTATTTTTCCTTTCATTTTTATTATATTCTTCTCCTTTTCCAATGGGTTTCATCCTACTGTTATTTTTTTTGGTTTCAAAAATTATCGACCCTGGTCTATAAGAGCATTTCCGGTGATAAAAATATGTTAAATTTGTCAAAAAGTTATAAATTACACTTTATAAAAGTCACCCCAGTTTCATGACTTTAGCTAGATAAAATACCAAATTTTTGCGATGACCCACAAATTTACTAGAAAATGGCATTTTAATTAAAAACATTAATTCCGAAACGACGAATTTAGCCTACTCGGGACTTTTGGTGAAAGTTGTTCATATTATCAAATTTAAACAAAAAAAAACGAGGTAAAAAAAATGTGGCAATGTCAAAATTTAGTAAATTCACTTAATTTTTATATATATATTTTGTCTGTATTAAACATTTGTCCACAATTTAAAAAAAATTGTAAGGATCGAAACATTTTTGGCCAAAACAAATTTAAGCAAAAAGAAAAAAATACGGGTCTCATCGATTTCGGTGAAGAAACTGTAAACAACAAACAACAATAGTGGGTTTATTTGGTACTCTTTTTAGTAAATAAATATACGCCTTTTAACGAGTAATATAAGTTCCAACTGGTAATAACCATATAATTACCTATATAGATGGGGTCTTTCTTGCAACACAACTTGGAAGGTATGAAAGAGAGCTGATAGAAGCCCTCTGTGTGGGGACCTGGGAAGCGCACCCTATCGAGCAACTCGTTAATCACGTTACTATCGAACGGGTTTTGAGGCGTGTGATGCAAAGGTTTCACGTTTGCCGGTTTAGGGATGGTCCTGTTCATTGTCTCGAACATTGGAGGAGGTGGCTCCTGAACTGTGACCTTTTTAACAGAATAATGACAAAAATGTACTTGTTTCTGTTTTTTTTATCAGAACGCAGGTTTCACGAGAATGCATATTACTTTACCTGCATGTAGTTTGATGTGTCAAAGTCCATTATGCCTAGTAAGCTCCTACGTAAAGCTGCATTTACCATCGAATTTTGTGCATAATTACTGCTTTGTGAGTGCTCTTCTACGGTGGCCATAGCGTTTTGTTTTGTTTGATTACTTAGTTTCGAAGCACCTGAAGAGCCTCCGCTGAGGCTTGAAGAACTGAAAATTAATTATAATAATAATTATAATTAGCGACCGAAGTTTCAGTTTCGGACAAAAATTGGCCAAAATATATTTGATGATAAAATATGATAAAAAATGTTTTCGTAATTTTAATTTAATTTTAAAAGTTATTGACAAATAAAGATATTCTGAAAATCAGATTTCCTAATAAATTAAAGTATTTTATTGAATCTAATTGGGGAAAAACACTGGATTTTAAGGATTACATTGAAATTTTAACTAAATAAAATTTTAACTATTTTATAGTTTCGGTTTCTTCTGAAAATCGTGTTTCTGTCGGACACTAATAATAATGGACATGTTTCCTTGGAGATGAAATAACTTTTATAAAAATATTGTATTCTATACTGTCTAAATCAAAGTCAGCAAATCTGCTGTCCTAAAGAAAAAAATGGGTGGGAATTTAAGTAAATGTTTCGTTAAATTAACCTTAAAACTGAGATTAAAGTAAAAAACCTTGTCAAGTAATATAAGTTTGTATTATGATTTTTTTTACTTTTTTTAATAACTCTGAATTATTTAAATGAGGTCAATTTAACGTAATTTTTACAAAAAAAAATTACTTTTAGTTTATTTTATTTTAAGAATTTTTTAACGGTAAATTTAACGTAAGTAAATATTTTCACTCTAAACAAAAATTTAGTCATAATTCATATTTTTACTATATACCTAGTAATATATATTAAAATCACTTTATGACAGCCAATATTTCTTATTAGTTTGGAAACTTTTTAAGGTTTAAAGTGGTTTTGAGTCATATAAAAAATGACTTCAAAAAATTTGAAAAATTAAAAAATAAAACTATAAGCTAATATTTCTGAAAGACGCCATATTAAAATATAAATTTTTAGAAAAATTTACTTTTTAATTTTACTCGTAATAGGTAATACGAAAAAATTTTTCTGAAAATTTACCAATTTTTTTTTCCGCCGGCTCAATTTTTCCGGAAATTTTAAAACACTAATATTTACACAGCAAAAATTGATTTAAAAAGATATTTTAAGGGTGTGTTTCGTGAAATTTGCCACATTACTTTATAAATTTAAAATATGTAAATAAAAGGCTTATCGGAATGTTTTTAATTAGAATATAGAAAAAAAGTATTTAGACCGAACTACGACGTTTTTTTTTAATTTTCTGAAAGAAAACAAAAGTTTCTTTATTGTAATTTTTATTTTTTTTTATTAAAAAGTGCCATTATCTGAAAATTCTCTGAAATTTTCAGTGGCATTTTGAAGTTTGAAAAAATAAATAAATTAATAATTTTTTTATTTCCTTTGCTTTTAAATGTTATTTTATTAAAAATTATTAAGAACCATGTTTCTTCTCTAGTGTTTCTTACTTCTTCAAAAAAAAAATATTTTTCTTATGATTAAAGTGGTAATTTAATATTATTTTTTTTAAATTTGAGGTTCTCTCTACATCCTTAAAAATCCTGAGTGGTGTTATGAGAAATGATGATAATTAAAAAAAGAAAACAAAAAAACGCCACTGAAAATATCAAAGAATATATCCAGAAACTGTCAAAGTTTCTAATAATAAAAAAAAAATAATTTGTAATTACATTCATAAAGAAATTTTTGTTTTTTTTTAAACGTTGAAGATCGGTCTGAATACTTTTTTCTATATTTTTCTGAAAAGTACATATAAAAACAAACATTTCCGCCGGCTCAATTTTTTGCGGAAATTTTAAAACCCTAATATTTACACAGCAAAAATATATGAATTTAAAATAAATTTCGAGGGTGTTTCGTAAAATTTGCCACATTACTTCATTAATTTAAAATAATTAAAAATTCGTAAATTTTAAGAAACACCTTTGAACCAAAGAAAGTGGTTGCTGGCCAAATCACTCACTAATAAACGCCACTTTGAAAATTTTAGAGATTTTGCAGATAATGGCACTTTTTAATTAAAAAAGAAAAGAAAATTAAAAATGACGATCGAGAAATTTTCGTTCTTTACCAAAAATTAAAAAAAATCATTAAATATCGGTCTGAATAATTTTTTTCTCTCTACATTCTAAAATATATTTTTTTTAATTTTGGAAAAAAAATAGATAACAAAAAAGTCACTTTGAAAATTTCAGAGTATTTGCTTATAATGACACTTTTTAATAAAAAAAAAAAAATTAAAAAATTAAAAATGACAATCGAGAAACATTCTTTTTTTTCCGAAAATTAAAAAAAAAACATTGAATGGAATTTGAAAGTGGTAATCATCATGTTTTTTGAAAAAGTAAGAAAAATAATAGAAGATATATATTTATAAATTTTTTTTTGTAAAATTGGGCAGAAAGACCACGGTCGATAGCCTGTTGGGAAACCAATAAAGATGTTTATTATTATTATTAATAGAAGATACATAGTTCTGAATATATTTATTATTTTTGTTTGAAAAATTAAATTTAAAAATTTATTCATCTATTTATTTTTTCATTTGAAAAAAATAGAAAACAAAAAAACACTGAAAATTTTAGACTATTTGCAAATAATGGCACTATTTAATAAAAAAGGAGAAAAATTAAAAATGACAATTGAATTTTTTTATAATTACCACTTCATTTAAAAATTTGAGGTTCTTTCTACGTCCTTAAAAATCCCAAGTGGTGCTAATTGATTGATAATTAAAAAAAAAGAAAACAAAAAAACGCCACTGAAAATTTCAGAGAATATCCAAAAAAGTTTCTAATAATAACAAAAAAATAATTAGTAATGACAATCAATAAATTTTCGTTTTTGGAAAATTAAAAAAAAAACATTGAAGATCGGTCTGAATACTTTTTTTCTATATTTTTCTGAAAAGTTCATATAAAAACAAAAATGCCCGCCGCACAGTGTTTCAATTCTGGAAAATATCGGCAAAACCTCAAAAATTTATATTTTTTTCAGGTAAATTTTGAGTTAGATGGGTAGTTAATACCTGTCTCCATCCTGTATTGAAAAAAATATATATAAAATACGTATATTTTCTCTTGTACATCAGTTTAAACTTGACGCTTTCAGTTGAAGGTACTTTACACGCGATCGCTGCGGAAAATTGTTTATTGTTTAAAAGTGAATAACTTGTGTTTGGTGTGTTCGATTGTTATGCGGTTTGATGAAGGGTGATCTTCAAGGTATCTAAAATTCAGATATGTATTTGTTTTTCGTAGATTTTGCTTGTACAACGGGTTATTGTAACCGACAAGATCGGTCTGTTAAAATCGCAAACTTTGAATCGAGCTTTTAGAACAATGGAGCTACAAAAATTGTAATGAATTGTAAGGCATCAGTTCAAGATCCGTTGAATAGCTTAGAGTTTTGTCTATCAAGCCATCAATAAATTAGCTGCCCCAACTTGCCCCCGGCTCTTTAAAACTACATGTTCTTGGGCGCTCAGGCACGGTTGTGGTAAAAAACATCGCGATTTTAAGCCTATGTCGAGCGCGTATCTGTGTTTTTGCTTTACAAAATATAAGATTTTTTTATTTTTGGGTTGCGTTTATAACGTTTACTCGATTCACTCGGATTTAACTCAAAACGTTTATTACAACAGCGGTGTCTAGACTTTCACCTGCGTAAATCGTTTGTGACTACTAAGATATTTAACACCGATTTTACATATTTAACCCACCTCTTGTAGGTGCGTTAAAACAACTCCGCATGCGCATTGTAGTGTGTTAATGTCAAATTTGAATTGTGGTTATTTGTGTTGACAATTTTTTTAGCGAATTAAGAAATCGTTGCTAAAATATTAAGTAAAAGAAATAATACAAATTTAAAATACTTAGTATAAAATCTGTTATGTTTAAATTTTATAAATAAATTTTGAAAGTTTCTCGGAAGAAAACGATGAAAGATGTTTTTCATTGGCTTATGGCATCTTCCGATCAGTATATTTCTAGCTTCAGAAAAATTGCTCCGAAAAAGAGCAAATCTTTGTCCCGCGAAGCAATAAAACTGTTGCTATCTTCTGATGGTTTCCCATGCTCTGCTAATGATACAACAAGTGAATCCAGTGACGGAGATTGTTTAATATATATGTAGGTATTAAATAATATCATATAAATGTAATTATAATAAACTAAATTGAGCTATTTTATAAAAAGATGTTTTACTACATTTTAAAAGAACCTCTTTCGGATTTTTAATTAATTTCGACAATATTTGATAAAAATGTCGGCCATTTGAGGTCTACCATTTTGAATTTTGGAATTCTGATTCTAGATTCATTACACTAGTAAACAATAAAAAAAGGTCGGTAATAAAAATAGCTCAGTCCTATAGATTTTGACCTGCTCGACGCAAATCCGGCACCCAAAAAATTTTCTGAAGTCTCGTTTAGACGATAAGGGCAGGACCATGATACAAAGAAAAATTGTTAAATAATAACGATAAAAAATTAGTAAATAAAAAGGTCGGTAATAAAAATAGCACACTCCTATAGATTTTGACCTGCTTGATGCAAATCCGGCGACCAAAAAATTTTCCAAAGTCTCGTTTAGACGATACGGGCAGCACCATGATACAAAGAATTTTTTTTTAAATAATAACGATAAAAATTAGTAAATAAAAAAGGTCGGTAATAAAAATAGCACACTCCTATAGATTTTGACCTGCTCGACGCAAATCCGGCGACCAAAAAATTTTCCAAAGTCTCGTTTAGACGATACGGGCAGCACCATGATACAAAGAAAAATTGTTAAATAATAACGATAAAAATTAGTAAACAAAATAATTTGAACGATAAAAAACAGTAAACATCAAAAAAACATGCCTTAAATTATTACAATATGTACAGATATGTTGTTCATGGAATGCTGAAATATAAGTTAAAAGTAACGACATCTTAAAATTTTCAAATGGTGTATCTATGCAATAAATGGTACCAAAATACTGTGCTCCTATTTTTTATTTACGACTTCAGAAAATTTTTTTAAAAACATTTTGGATCTATTTCAGTCATAAACAATCGAAAAATTCTATTTTTAATCA